AAAAAGAGCAAGCAGGGGGCCAAGCAGGGAAAGCCAAAGAGAGAGTGGAGAAAAGAGATGGTGCCAAGGAAGGAGGAAGGATGGGGCAGAACCCCCTGTCCCAAACCTAGTGGCGAGGAGGGGACCTCTGGGGCAGTCCTAGCCAGGACCCCAGAGAAGCCACTGTCCCCTTGCTTCAGATGCCACCCTCATAAGCCCCTTCCCTCTGCTTAAGTTGCCAAATAAGCCCCACCCTGCCTAGGAGCTAGTGATTTCCAGTCCCCGCGGATGTAGCATTGCCTCGGATTTTAATAGATATTTTCTTCAGCCAGACCCTGCAGAGCAAATTGCCAGCAAACAAGCATTTAACACTTTAAATATAGGAGGAGATGGGGTACCATGTCGTGAATTTCATGGGACCGTGATGAATGCTGGCACCCCGGGCTGTGTGTGTGTGTGTGTGTGTGTGTGTGTGTGTGTGTGTACACACTGAATCTCATGGGATGATTTTAGGAGAATTTCAAAGGCCCTTTGACCATGACAGCCTGCACTGGCCTGAGGTGACATAATCTCTTGAAAAATTACTCTATGTCCTCTCCCCCACCCATGTGCTTCCTGACACTTGTCCAGCTGACAGAGAAGACACTTTGCTGGGAGAAGAATTAGCCAGAACTGGGGTGGATGCAAAGAGCATGAAAAGAACTTTTTCTTCCTCTTGAACTTCCAAACTAAGTTGGAGGATCCAAAGAAGAGTTTGAAGTCATAACCCAAATTAGAATGAACTCAGAGGGAGAGGCCGTAATCTGTCTCCCCTGTCCCCCACCCTTCCCCACCCTAGGCTGACCAGTGGCCCTAGGGCTGGCCAAGGAGAATGAGGAGGAGATGGGAGGCCCAGGCCTGGGGGTGGAGGTCAAACTCCCAAGACCAGAAGGCCAGACGTGGGGGTACCTGGAGAGATAGTCGACCTCTGATAGTGGCTGGCACAAGGGCTGCTGGACACCCACCTACAGACCCCTCCTTGTGGTTGTTATGGTGAACCCTCACCTCCCCTCTCAGGGGGGACATCTCAGCAATGATAAGTGCTGAAAGCCCCCAAAGCTCCCTGCTCCATCAACCTCGGTCTGCTCGCTGCCCGAGAACAGTCCCACATGGGGACACCCACCTCAGTGAGCCCTTATCCAGACCGATTTGTCTCAACTGCCCCAAAGCCAAAGGTGGGGTCTCTGCTCCCCCCAAAAGGCAGTGCTGTTACTTGGGTCCCCCTGGACAGGGAGGCAACCATCCTCGTTACAGTAGGTCAGGGATGATAAAATTGCTGTTTCATAGACAAAAGGGACCGAATATCAACAATTTCAAACAATCCAATCTAATACATGTCATTTAGCCAGTGACTGTGCTGTTGTTCCCTTACCCACCCTCCCTCCCCTGTTCATCTGCCCCCCCCTTCCTTCCTCCCTTCCTTCCTTTGCTCCTTGCTGGGGATACAGACTTGATAAAGAAACTCACTGTCCTTGAGGAACTCTTAGTAGAAAAAACAAACTATAAACTCTGAGTGTCACTGCAAGGTAATAAATGCCGTAATACTCTGACTTTCACTGCAAGGTGATAAATGCCGTAATAAAAGGCGTCACACAATACAAGAGAGAGTCACCTGGCTCCACAAGCTGTCAGCCCCACGGCAGGAGTGACACGTTATTGGGATCAGATGCCAGGAAAATGGGGGTCAAGGTCAGCTGTGGGTTGGCAATGCCTTCCATAGTGGCTTCTCCAGAGGCAGAAGCTGGCCTCTCCAGCCCCGGGCTATCCTGGGAGCCGGCAGGGCCTATGGGGGATGTGGCAGGATCCAGAGACCCCTGGGCTGACAGTCACGGGCCCAGCCTTCCCTAAGAGGTCCTGCATGCCTCTGAGCTCAGTGTCCCCCCGCTTAAGGGTCTGGCTCTCTCACTAGCCAGCATCAAACAGAAAGCAACAGCTTCTTACCAAGCAGGTCTTTACCTGGTCACTGTCGTACCATCCAGCACCCTGGAAGTAGGAATTAGTCCCATTTTACAGACGGAGGGGCAGAAGCTTAAGAGGGCTGTGTGAACTGCCTGACACCCTGCATGAAGGTAGGTGAAGGGGATTCAGGTCCCAATGCGTCTGGCTTCCTAGTCGAGGCTCTGAAACACGGCGCCGAGAGTACCTGTCTGTTTCCTTTAAGCATCACTCAGCCCCATGGAGAGCCTGGCCTCCACACCACCACACGGAGAGCAGGGCCCTGGAGCTCCTCCCTACTCTGAAGATACATTGGAGGGGGGGCACCCCCCCACTGGCTTTCCAGAGACGGTCCCTCTGAGCTTCACACCTTCCAGATGGGAGGGCTCTGCATGAGGCTTTGTGCCTGTCCCCTCCCACCAGCTGCACCCCCGCCCCTTTTGGCAGACCCCGCACCCAGCAGCTGGGCTCCACGTCTGCAGGCAATCAGAAGACAGGGTCCAGCAGACACTGCCTCTGGCCTGCTCCCCCCCTCCCCCTTGTGACAGAAGGTGGCCCCACCAGCCCCTACGGGCGCACTGTCTCTGACAGTCCTGCTGAGTAGAGGGGCCTGTCTCCCCCCGACACCAGCCTGTTCCCCTTGCTCCCGCCTCAGCCCTCCTCCTTCCATACTGTTCCTTTAGGGCTTTATGGGAGCAGCCTGGCAGCTGTGCGTGTGTGTACGTGTGTGTGTGTGTGTGTGTGTGTGTGTGTGTGTAGGGCTGAGGTGAAGTGCCGCTCCCTTGTTGCCCCTGGAGGCAGAGCGCCTCCTCCCTGCCTCCCCTGGGCCTGGACAGACAGCTAAGATGGCGGAGGCTACGGAGCCCGGGTGGGGGACACAGGGCAGGCAGTGGGTGGAGGGAAGGGTCCGTGCTTCTTGCCCTTGTCCTGCATTTATTCACAGTTATGGAGCCACTGGTCTGGGTTGAAAAGTGCTCAGCTTTGGGGGCATAACTTCAAACAAAGTGGACCTGCTTTGGCTCTGGTAACAGTAAATCAGCAGTTATGACCCCCTGCTGTGCTGGGGGTGGGGGGGGCAGGTGCCATGTTTCTGGGCCAGGCTTCGGAAGGTCGTTTGGGGAAAGCTTCCTGCAGGAAGCAATAGCAAAGCTGAGAATTGAAAGACGACTAGGGAGGGGTCCGTGGGGCTGAGGCTTCCTATGGTTTTCCAGAGATGAAGGCGTGGTGGAACTCAGAGGTGAGGGCAGCGCCCCCTGGCGGGTCTGCAGTAGAGCAGGAGGCAGGGCAGAGGCCCAGGGGAGGCCTGTAAGCAGAGGCAAGGGTTTGCACGATATTCTGAGGATTTGGGGGTGCCTTTAAGGCTTTTAAGCAAAGGAATAAGATAACAGGTTCTTCTTTTAGAAAGATCAGAGACAGACGGGGGGAAGAGAAGAGAGGAGGCCAAGACAGAAGGCCAGAGGCTCTTGCAATAGAAGAAGCAAGAAATGGGGCTGCCTGGGTGGTTCAGTTGGTTAAAAGTCTGCCTTCAGCTCAGCTCATGATCTCAGGGTCTTGGGATCAAGCCCCACGTTGGGCTCCCTGCTCAGCGGGGAGCCTGCTTCTCCCTCTCCCTCTATCCCTTTCCCTCTGCAGACCCCCCACACCCCCATGCACCCTCTTTCTATCTCAAAAAAAATAAATAAATAAAGATCTTAAAGAAAAAAGAGGAGGCATGAATCATTGATTGAACATATTAGGGAAGTCACTGTGGACACAAAGACAGACTTAGGAGGCTGAGTCTGTGGGGGCAAGCTGGGAGCCCAGACAACACGCAGGCTTCTGGATTGAACAGGGTGGATTTCCTTGAGATCAGCAACACCGGAGTAGCCACAGCCTCTGGGGAAAGGACAGCAAGGCTGAGTTTGGACACGATAGGTAGGACATACGTGAGTTGTCGGGAAGAAGGATGTGGGGGTTCGCTCTAGCTGTACGGAATTGGGAATTATCAACAGACGCAGCTGAAATGCGAGTCGCTGAGAGCATCCAGGAACACTTCCCAAGTGGGAAGAAGGATCCAAAACACAGAGCCCTGAGGGATCCATCCCCCACCAGAGAGGTAGGTGGGCCCGGCGAGAGCTCGCACGGAAGCGTGGGGTTGGAGCACTTGAAGGGTAGGAGGAAATTTGGGAGATCCAGGGATATAGGCATGTCAGGAAAGAGAGAGAGGTAAGTTGTTCCTAACACTGCCTAGAAATCAAGGAAGGTAAGGACTTGGGCCCCCTAGATTGGCAACAAGGTTATGGGAGATACTGGTGACTGATGGGCGGCAGTCAGGCTGCATGGGGGATGAGAAATGGGAACTAGGAATGAAAATGTGGAGGAGGAGACAACCCAGGTAAGAACTCCAGTCTTCAGGAATGCACTAGACAGACAGACAGACAGACAGCCCGACCGACCTCATGTAGGTAACCAGAACAGCAGCAAGGACATGTTGTTAAGATGGAAACATCTCGAATGTGGCCTACAGACAGAGGGAGGAGGGGGCGAGGGGGAGATGAGAGACTGGCTGGAGAAGAATCCCAGGAGTTGGCTGGAGGACATTCCAGGCTTCCACAGGGTCAGGAGGGAGGGAGGGGAGCAAGAGACAAAGGCAGACGAGTCCATCAGCTTGATGAGAGGAGCTGGGGGAGGGACCCTGTGGTGGCCTGTTTCTCTGTGGAGGAGGACACCAGGCTGTTGAGGGGAGGTGTGGGGGAAGCCACTGGTGTTGAGGTGGGAGGAGAGGAGCACTGAGATGGCCTGGGACCACAGTTCTGCAGCCAGAGGCTGCCCAGTGAGGACCTGAGGCTCCAGCGTCCCCAGGCCCTAGCCAGGGCCTCTGGGGACTCTGTCCTCCCAGGCCCAGGCCCCCAAGCCCTTAGCAGGGCTCCTGGGAAATGGAATGGGGAAGAGAGAAGAGTGAGGAGAACAGTAGGAAACGTTTCCAAAAAAGGAGACAAGCAGGCACCAGGTGCCAGTGTCATAGGCCTGAGACTTTAATGTCCTGCTGGGGGGGGAGTGGGCTTCTGCCAGCCAGACACTGGCACTGATGGGTCTATTTGAATGACGTTGGAAGCTCCATCCAACCGTGCCTCTTGCTGGTGAGAAGAACGGCCTGTCAGTCAACTTCTTCCTGATCTTTTTTCAGTGGTTCCTGACTACCCCTACTCAGCCCATCCACTGAGACTCGGAGAGAGAGAGGGGTCTCTGCAGGGGGCTAACCCTTCTCTGCCCCAGCCACCCCGCCCTCACCATGGGGGGATGCTAGCTCTAAGCCCCTGCTGTGAGGGTCTTCACAGCCTGCGGGGGATCAGGGTCTCCTGGGAGCCCTGATGCTGGTCAAGGCTGCCCAGCGAGGACCTGAGGCTCCAGCGTCCCCGGGCCCTGGTCAGGCCCTCTGGGGACTCTTGTCTTTTCAGCAGTTCTGTGGCTGCCACCTCCATGTCCTCTGGTGCCATCTGGCAGGCGTCTGCCAGGGCCTGACCAGTCGCCATGACAAAGAGCGTCAACCGCCAAGGTGTCCAGGCCGCCTCGAACCAGAGCCTGCAGGGAGGACAGAAGGCCGGGTGGGTTCTCCAGGGGCGCTGCGTCAGGGGTCTGCCTCTATTGGCCAGCCTAGGGCCACCCCTGAATGCCGCCCACTGCTCTGGGCCCGCTGCCACCTCACCTCTTGAATCAGCTGGGCTGTCGCTGGAGTCTGGCACTGGGAACTACTGTGCTTGGTCCTACTGCTGTGGGACGCTTGCTCAGGCGGAGACCCTGGGCTGTGCCTCCTCCTCTCCTCAGGCAGGGGAGGCTCGGCGCTGGCACGCTGTTCCAAATGCAAACAGCAGAGAACCCAACGGGGATGCTGGGGCCCCTAGGATCCCGCGAAACTGCAGCTCTTCCGAGGGAGCCTCAGCCAAGACCCACAGAGAGGGAAGGACCCAGGAGGCCAACCCTTTCTGTTATTAATGGGCAAATAATGGTGGCCCCCCTCCTCTGTATAGAGTTTCTTCCCAGGCCTCTGCCCCATTACCTGGCAAGGGGCAGGAGATGCTTGGGATCTGGGCATTTCTCTCTGGGTCAGCTGTTCTTTTAGCTTTTCCACATAGGATTTGCTGTGGGGTCCTGTGGGGCAAGACAGACCAAGGGCAAGAGGGGCTGCTGACTCCTGCCAGGGCCCCGGAGTCAGGGGAGCTCTGCTCAGCCAGGCGGCCAGACCCTGAGAGCTCCCTGAGAGCCCTGGGGCTGTGGAGGGCGTCCTGTTGGGGGGAGGGGGTGCACAAGCTAAGATTCAACCAAGTCCAGGCTGGGTAGGACCCTGTGTTGTCTCCTTGCCCCTCTACTTGCCCTGGTCTCTGTCCTTGTGGGTTTGAGAAGGGGGAGGGATCAGGGCCAGAGTTTGACCAGATCTGGTCAAGATCTTCTTCGGTGTTTCCGTGTGTGTTTGCATGTAAAAGTGTGTGTATGTGTTGTGTGTGTGTGTGTGTGTGTGTGTGTGTGCGTGCTCTGGGGAGCAGGGCGAGTGCCCTCATCTCCATCAAACTTGGGCATCCTCAAGGCTCCTGATGTCACACACAGTGGTCTAGGACCTGCTGGGAGATCACCAGACTATCTCCTGAAGGACCCCAGGGCCAAGGGGTCAATGCGGCCAGGGGCTGTCCTTCAGAGAGGGGAGTAAAGGAGGGTGTGAGTTTCCTGGCCTGCCCCCTTCCCACCTCACTCAGTTATCGAGTTGGCACCCTTCTCCCCCACCCAGATGAGGAGCTGACAGCTCGTCCACCCCAGGCCCAGCTGGCTCCCATAGCGACAGGCTCCCAGCCAGATTCCCCTAGTGTAAGGAGAGAGCCAGGCTCCCCAACCCTCTCTGGCAGTTTGCTCAGCTTATAGGGCACCCAGAAAAGACTGACCCAGGACCCTTCGGGGTTGACCAAAGGCTCCTCCTCTGGCAGCAGGCGTCTCTGTCTCTTCAGGGAACTCCCTTTCATAGTGGAGGCTGAAATGGAAGCAAGGCTGCTGAGTGAGAGCAGGCGGCTGGTCCTCCCACCATCCCACCCCTCCGTGGCCCCTCAGGGTCTGGACCCACCACTGGTGTTGTCCTGACTCCAGGGCTGGGGCTCACACCGCTCTCTGGCCGGCCAGTCCTGGCCAGCTAAGAGAAAGAAGCCAAATGCGTCCCCAACTCCTCTCCTTTGCCCAAGGGATGCCATTCTTCTACCCTTACACTCTGTTCATCTTTTGAGGCCCAGCCTCAGCCTCACACATTCTAGGACACTGGTTCTCAACCTCGGTGGCACATTGGATCAACCAGTAGTGGCCGTGTCCCATCCCCAGAGTCTGTGGTGAGGCCCCGGACACCGCCATTTTGGAAGGCTGAGAGACAGTGGTGGAGTGGAGGCTGGCACATGGAGGCTGAGAAACATTGCTTAGCTCTGTTCTAGGCCTTTCCAGCCCCTGGTGATCAGGACGCCTGCATTCTCAGGGCACACAGGACACATGTCCCAAGGAGACTACAGTTCTTTCAGGTCAAGGCCCAGGTCTCATGCTTCTGTAGCCCCGGAACATCCAGCACCATGGTGACCCAGGCGCAGTTCCGGGCCTGTGGGACTCTGAATGGAAGGGGATGTAGGCAGCCCTAGCCCCGGCGGGAGTAGCTGCTCACCGGGCATCTGCCCTCTCCTGCCCATTTCTGACGGTGTGTGACAGCCTTGCCAGGTCCTCCTACCTAGAACAGAAGCTCTGCTTGGACCTCAGCCCACAGGTGACGATTTCCGAGAAGCTCTCCCCCTCATCCTGCTGTTTTTTGTGACACTTACGTAAATGTCTATTATATTTAGTCTGCAGCTCAGGGTGGGAGAGAGAAGACCCATTTAGCAATGACATCTCCCAGAACCTAAATCCAACAGTTTAACTTTAATTTTCTGCAGCTTTTTGTAGTAACTCTCTCTCTTCCTAACCTGCTATGTTCAAGAGGTCGCAGCTCCTTAGACCTCAGACGGGAGGACGGAATGAAGGAACCATAGGGCATTTGTGCCAATGCTGCCCTCTGCTGGCCAAAGGAGTCTCTGCAGCCCAGGCTCGCCTCTTGCTTTAAGGTGGAGGAGAGACCCCAAAGGACACAGAAGCAAGCAAAAGACAATCTATACATTTCAGGATGTCCTCCTCCTAAAGGACCTGGAACCCACTAAGTATGTCTTCCCAGCCCTACCCAAGGACCCCTACATCCAAAGCTGGCAGTTGCTGCCACTACTTTGAAAACACCTGCCTGTTGCTATGGTTGCTGTTGCCATAGGCAATGTTGGCATTGGCATTGTTGGTATTGGCATGAGCCAGAGGGTTGGTGCGTGGATCTTGAGGGAAATCCTCCAAGAAGACAGGTGATTCCAGCTCTTCCATCTCTATCTCAGCAAACTGGAGGGGTCTCTGGTTGGCCATGACAGGGGGCAGGGAGTTGGTCCTTTCCAGGAAGTTGTCCACCTGTCCAAAGAGGCCTCCAGTCCTCTAGGGTCAAGGAGAAGAGCGTAAGGGCTGAGAGCCGTGATGGGGGGATGGGAGCTGAGAGTGCATGGGGACTGCCATCCTGGAATGACGTCCTGGGAACAAGTGATGGCACTGGAAGACAAATCCTGTAAGGCCAGAGGAGAATGGACTGGGCTGTGAGGGCAGAGAAGGGCTTACGATCTCCCTCTTCAGAGAGTTTTCAATTAAATGGGGGTAGACAGGACACAATTAAGGAACTACGTAGGAGACACAGACATCCAGATGGAGAAATACATTGTCATGGAAAGAGCACTGGATTGGGAGTCTGGAGAACTGGTTCTAGTCCCATGTCTAAAACTAACTTGCTGAAGTGATATTGGCTATCCCATATCATCTCTGGGTCACAATTTCCTCAGGAATAACCCAAAAAGTTTTAACTAGGTGGTCATTAAGGACCTTTTAATTCTATAGTGTCATAAAAAATTCTAGAGGGCTAAGGATTGAGGACCAGTGTAACTGGAAACAAGCAGGCACACCATTTGATAATGAAGGGATTCCAAGAGATGAATGTCACCTAGGGCTCTTGGGGAGGTGAGGACAGGAGTGAGGTTTGGTAGAGGAAACGAAAAAAGTATGTGTCATATTTGACAACTCCAGGAGGTTGGGTCCAGTAGTATTCTGAGTCCCAAGAGATGTGGGCTGTGGATGTCTTCAGCTTCCAAATTCCCCTCCCGTATGGTGGGGCTCCTGGCCCTCGTCGCTATGGGATGTTGCTGCTCCCCGTGCCTAGAACACACGGGGTGGCCACAGTCTTCACTTACCCTGAATATCCCTTCCTCCATCGCAGCCTCCACCATGGCTCTCTCCAGCTCCTCTTCTGCCGTCAGGTCTCCTGAGATGGTACGGCGGATCTCTGGGGCGGCCTCTTCCTCAATGGTCCGCAGTCCGGCCTGGGGACAGAAGCTCAGTGACCCCTCCAGTCTAGTGAGAGAGACCAGACTGCTTCCCATGGCCTCGCTCATTTCTACCCCCAACTCCAGCCCCACCTTCTCCTGGACGTTCAACATCCCAGGGCTCCAGGAGGCCCTGCTCTGACCGCTGGGATGGCCCAAATCCTAATGGCTCCCAAGGAGTCTTCTCTCAACCTCATGGGTGATTTCATACCCTCCCAGGCCTCCAGGTGGAAAAATCTTTTTACTCAGTACAATCTCCTAGACAAATGATCTCTTTTGAATGAACATATCATTCATATCATTTTTTGAGTTGATCAAAGCAATGGGATGAACCAAGATTGGTATCATCTGATAGCTTGCAACGAGAACACAGCATCATTTCTGTGACATTCCTGTCCAGGATCAGTGTATCTTAACCCTATCGTGAAGAAACAACACGTGAACTCAAACTGAAGGATATCCTGGCAATCTTCCAAAGTGTCAAGGTCAGTCAAGGAAAGACCGGGGAACTGTTCTGGGTAGAAGAGTCTAAAGAGATATAGAAACTAAATGCTGTGTATAATTCTGGAGTGGATCCTTTTACTATAAAGGACATCACTGGGACAAATGGTGAAATTGGCATGAGGCCCGAGGATTTGATGATCATAAAGTCTCAGTGTTAATTTCCTGATTCTAGTGGTTACATTGCGATTATGTAGGAGAATTACGGAGAATGCCCTCGCTGCATGTGAAAATGTTCTGGGTTGTTGGAACATTATGTTGGGAATTACTCTCAAATGGTTCAGGAAAAAAGTTGTACCGTTGTACATGCAACTTCTAAGATTTTGAAATTGTTTTAAAGTAAAAATTGCAATTGAAATGTTTTCAAGCACACAGCCCAAATGTATGCATATTTTTGAATTTGTAAATTGTGTGTCTGGTTAACACCAAAAAAATAGAAATAAAAAACAGATGAGATGAAACAAAGTTTTAAATTTCTTTGCCTACCAGTGGATCATTTTAAAGCACTCAAATCTCTCTTTTGAAAAAAATCCCATTTCTTTTGGTCCCATCATCCTTCCCTCTGGGCCTCCATCACTGGCCTTCAAGGACATGAAGAGGGAGCTGGAGCCTGGAGACCTGGCTCACTGGAGTCCCTGGGACTTCAGGTCCATCCAGGCCTTACCTGGATCTGTATGGTGTCCTTCTTGGGCCGATACCCATAATACTCTTCCTGGCGCTTCATGAACTTCCGGAAGTGCTCCTGGATCAGAAACGTGGCGTAGAACTTCCCCACAGTCACCTCATCATCTGCAGGGGAGCCAAAAAGGGATGTCCTGAAGGTGGGTAAGAATCTGAACCAGGTTCAGAGTGGGAGCCGGGGGTAGCCAGGACCGGGACATTCAGGACATGCCTCTCCTTGCTGACTTGGACAGCGGGCAATTCCCATCCTAAGTCTAGCACCAGTCCTGATGGCCACCACGGGGTCTATCCAAGGTATTTACAAAGTGTCTGGGCCATTTTCAGATTCTCACAGGGCTTCCTGGAGAAGTCCCTTGTCCCCTCTCCTCAGCTGCTTCTGGACTCTGGTCTCCCAAAGCAGCACGTACCTCCTATTGGAGGAATGACCTGGTCCAGGAGCTTCATGCTGGTTCTCTTCCAGATCTTCTTGATGATGGCCCTCAGCTCCTCATTGGCCTGCTCAAAGTTACCTGGGGCAAGGGACAGGCGGAGGCAGTCCTAAAGTCACCCAGCCCAAGTCAACTGCACTTGACAAATCGCCTAGGATTCTCCGAACACCTCACTCAACAAATGTTGGCTGAGGTCTTGTTTGTTTGTTCATTGGTTGGTTGATTGGTTTGGGCAGCTACTGGGCTGAGCACTGGGCATGGCAGGAGGGCATCACCATCCCCCTGGGGCAGCCCAAACTTTGGGTCATGTATTCACTCCCCACAAGCCTTGGCTTCCACTGCTCAAAGTGGCTGCCTTTGAAAGCTGTCTGACATCTCCTACTCTTTTCCCTTTCCCCTCAAAAGCCCCCAAATCCCCATGCCCTGTGGTCTTTCCAAAGACCCCTGCAGCCTTCTTGCTGCCCTAACTTCCTTTCTCCAATTCTTGACTCTTGGCCCTCCTCTCCTTGCCCTCTGAGAAAATGTTTCCTGGGGCTGTCCTAGATGCTGGCTTAGGTTCTGATGCCCTTGGGGGATGGCTCTGATAGAGCCGAGCCCTGAGAGAGGGCTCAGGAATAATACCAAGCTCCCCCACCCTGATTCCTTTCCCAGCTTCCTCCATGTCTGCCTTCCTGGTGGGGTGCGGGGGGATCCCGTGGGGTTAGTGGAGCTGAGTGTGGACTGCCCACCCACTGCGACCTGAGGAGCTCCTCTGCTCCTGCCCAGAGCCAAACCTCAGGTGACCCTCCCCTCTGTGCTAACACTGCCACTTCTCTGGCCCCGTTCAGACATGGCTGCGTGGGAATAGATCCTTAGGGACCTTGGCCTGTAGAGAATTTTCGAGCTCTATCTAAGCCCTGAAAGGCATGAGAATGTTGTGGTCATGGTCGGGGTCCTCCTTCTGCTTTTCCGCACGGCTCTTCCCTCCAACTTTTAGCTCTGAGAATCTGGCAGAATGTGCACCAGAAAACTCATCCTCTGAGAGAAGGGAGGGGGGCCGCACGACAGAAAGCCCTCACCTTCCGTCTTGATCTTGAGTGCCGTGCGGACCAGGGCAAAGAGGGTGGCGTTGAAGGTGACCGTGCCATCGCTGTTCAAGGGCATGTTCATGCCCACCAGCCGCTGTGAGGGGAGGGCAGTGGCTGACTGCCAAGCTGGCACCAGGCCAGGCGTGGCGGGTCATTCCAGCCTGGTCTGTGGACCGGGGGAGGGGGGAACATGAAGGCTGGGGGTGTGGGTGATTCAGGACACCCTTCATAAGGGAATGGAAAGATGAGTTGGGGGAACACTGCTGAGACCTGAGGTCCTCAGGGAGGAACTTGGGGATGCAGGAGATGATTGCTGTGAAATGTCTCATCCAATCAGGCCCGCCCTCACCAGCTTCCCTGTCCCAAGGTGCCTGAGCCTCTTTCTTTCCTGGAGGCCACCCCTCCCTAGCAGCGCTCTTTACCTTACAGGCCACCCGGTGGGGACAGAACTTCCCAAAGCCCAGAGGGGGCTGGATCCGTCTCAACAGGGTCACCACATCCAGGTGTTTGATTCTGCCCCTGCAGGAGGACACATGGACTTGTCTCCCTGCAGCCCCACCCAGAAGCTCCCTCCCTGCTCAGGGACCAAGGGCAAGAGAGCCAGGCCACAGGGCAATGCTTCCTATTGTCCAAGGAAGTAGAAGCTGTGCTCCCTCTTTAAAGAAGAAACAATGTTTGGGTTCACTATTGCCCACCACCAGGAATGGGCTGTCCTTTGTGGGTGGGGGGCAGATGTCCTTTTGAGAACAGAACATCCTCTGATGTGGGATCTCCAGGTCTGGAACCTGGACTTCAATTGCACCATGGCAGAGCTTTCCTTGGGTTCTGTTTGAGCTGACTGGGGGCTCTTGGGTTATATTAATAGATGTAGAGGATGTGGATCACTGGAGGTGGAAGCCTACTTCCCGAGACTTGTAGAGAGGCGGAGAGCTGTGTCACAGGTTGTTGTGGTAAGGATTAAATGAGATGATGTTTGCAGTGGTTAGCACAGGGCCTGATGCCTGGGCAACATTGGTCAAATATGAGCTTATTATCTTTCTAGAAAGAATGTAAAGCAGTAGTACTTCTCAAGGGCTAACAAGCACACAAATGCCCTGAGGGTGAGGCTAATAATTAATGAGGGTTCTGATTCAGTAAGTCGGCCTGGTAGGGGGGCAGGGAGCCAGAGCTCTGCATTTTAATGAAGTTAGGATGCTATTGGTCCCTGGACTACAACTGCCTAGCCAGGGCCTGCTGAGGCACTGAGTTCCTTGCTCCTGGATGTGTCCACGCAAAAGCTGGATGACCATTTCCCGATAAAGTCAAGGGGTTTTCTGCCCTGGGAGGCTGTGGGATCCCTTCCAACCCTAAGAAACTCCAATTTTCTGATCTGGAACATCAGATAATGAAGGGAGAGGGAGGCCACTCATTCTTATAAAACTGGAGAGTGACTCCCTGTAGGGACACCAGGACGGGGTCTAGGATGGAAGGGGGGACAGCTGATGGATGGCCCCACCCAGAGCCTAAAGATGGGACTCACTTAGCCTCTGGGTCATACTCTGCCCAAATGGCCTTGAACTCATCCAGGTGATGAGGGCCCAGAATGGACCAGTCCCGCGTGAGGTAGTCAAAGTTGTCCATGATGACAGCAACAAAGAGGTTGATGATCTGTAAGGCGAGAACAGAGGGTTCCCACCTGGAAAGGCAGGTGATAATGGGGAAAGGGGTGGAGGCTGGGGGTTGTCCAGTGGGTAAGGGGGTCCTTTCTTGCAGACCTTCTGAATGACCTACCTCCCCTACACGAGCAACCCGTGTCACACCCTTGTGCTCCCACACGGGTAGTGTCCTCTGATGGGGGTCTTTGTGCTCATCCTTAAAAGCCCAGCTCAAGCTCTTCCAATCTCAGCCACTTGCCCCCAGCCCAGAGAGATGACCCCATCAGTGTCCTCACTGGACCATGCCCTATTACTGCTCCTTCCTTGTCTGTGTATAGTGACCGTCCCTTTGAACGGCAAGACTTGCTCCTACATGGGTTCCCCGGTACCCAGGGAGCTCCTTCAGGGCCAGACTGGGTCTTAGCATATTGCTACCCTCTGCACTGAGCCCAGGATGCTCATATAACAGTTTTTAACTGAATATAGGAAAGAAGAAAGAGTGAGGGAACGACAGCCCACAGACGGCGCTGGCTCTTCACCTTCCACATGAACAGACAGCAGACCCGGGATTCCAGAACAATCTGCACTGTTTCTAACCCCATTAAGGCCTCCTCTGGGACCCTGTTTCCAGAGCCTCAGCCATGGGGCAACTTTCTCTTCACAGGAATAGGGAGGCCAAGTGGCTTTATTGGGGGCCCCTACCTATGCAAGACAGAACCCCTTTAACTTCTTCTTTTGATCACTAATTGCTAACCAAAAAGGGTAAAACTTTTAACAACCCCTCTGGACATGATAAAGCACTCAGAAAATCAAGTCCCCCCCAGGTTGAGTGGAACAAGGGGCCATCTAACCAGAGTCTCCTGTGTCTTATGTCCCCGAAGCCCATCCCCAATGGACAGGAGCTGCCAGGGAAGGGGAGGGCAGGCTCATCTCCGGGCATCTCACCAGGAAGGCACAGAGCATATAGAAGCTGATGAAGTAGTAGTAGGCGAAGTTGGTGCCACATGTGTACTCCTCACCCGGGGCATAATCTGACTCAGGGTCGCACAACTTGCCGTAGCTGCAGGCCAACAGGATCTCCTGCCATGCCTCGCCTGTTGCACACCTGGAAGAGACGGGGTCCCACTGGCCTGTCTGCTCGTGGGTGGCCCCTCAGGAGGCCAGCAGCCTGGGGGTGCAGGGTGTGGACAGGTGGGTAGACTGGGGCCCTCCCTCACCCCCGCATCACCAAAAGAGGCAGTTTAGACCCCTAGGTTCACCAAGTAGCTCAGTGCGAGGCGGGCCTCAGTTTCCCTTCTGTGCCAGGGCTCCACTGCTCCTTATGGGGTACTATGAGCAGGAGCTGAACTAAAGAAAAGGGGTCTCTTGGCTGCAGGGGCAAAGTCAATCCATGATTCAAGTCACTGGTGGGGGACCGTAAGGGAGAGCGCCGTGCTGACTGTGCTGACCGACGTGGGGCAAGGTCACAGGCCACTGAGGCCCCACCACTCCCGTGTAGGGACATTTGGCCTCTGTCTCCTGCTGCACTGGGATAAGGTCCCACCAGGACCATCTACGTCATTTTGGAGGCCCAGTGCAAAATGAGTATATGGGGCCATTTGTTCAAAATGGATTTTAAAAATGGCATGCGTCATGCAATGGGGAGCAGAGCTGACTTCTAAAAGGATTAAACATTTCAAGACCAGGATAGGAGAGCCTCATCTCATCAAAGCACAGGACCCAGGGCCAGGAAGACAAGGTCCTGCCTAGGGGCAGAGTATAGCAAAGCAAAGGCCAAGGGCAGGGGTGCGGATGGGGACGTAGGGGTACGGGGCAGCGGGAGCCTCACACCTGAAGAGCAGCAGCACAGCTTGCGGGAAGGTCTGGAAGTTGTTGTTACGGTTTATCTGGGTCCCGTCCACCATGGCGATCTTACCAAACATCTGCAAATCACAAAAGGCCCCCACCTGTGACCTAGATCACAGCCTCCCCTCAGCCCAGGCCCTGCTGGCCTCTCCCACCTCACTACTCCCCTCCTTCACCCCTATCTTCTCCAAATCCCCTTCACCACAAGCCACAGCAGACCTGAAGCCAAATTGATCAGATTATTTTCAAGATTGGGAGAAGTTCTTCCCACGGAGCCAAAGGGAAGCGGGAGAGAGGACCACGTTTTCCCAGCACAAGCCAACTTAGGGACTCCATGTGGGGAATGGGGGGACAGGGCTTGTGGAGGGGTAGACTGAGACACCGGATTCCCTCCTCAGGTGGCCCCTGCTGTCCACCGCGTGCCAAGGCTCCTCCTGGATGACTCCCAGCCAACCAGTCCTGCAGCCACCGGGGTTAAGGTGCCCAGCGTCCTTCCTCGGTCCCGCATCTGACCCCATGGTGGCCAGGACAGAAGATAGAGGGAGGGTGGAGGGTCCAGCCTCTGTGCTGATTAGGCCTCTCTCAAGGGTCCACAGATGCCCCCCACCACGTGGCCCAGATCCCCGCTTTGAGCTGGGCCCTCCTGCCCTCACCTGCATGCCGATGACCGCGTAGATGAAGAAGAGCATGACGATGAGGAGGGCCACGTAGGGCAGGGCCTGGAGGTGAGGAGGGGTGTCAGGGCGCAGGGCTCCACGCACCTGCTCTGCAGCCCTGCCCCTCCCCGAGCTCTACTGCGCACCCCATGGTCACACCGGGGCTCTACCCCAGGGCCACACAGATGCCCATCACAGCCTCTCCAAGTTCCCCATGTCCACCTGGCCTGGGCCCCGCTCAGGTGGGCTGGGCAGGCACACCTGGAAGGACTTGATGAAGGTCCACAGCAGAGTGCGAACTCCCTCTGCCCGGCTCAGCAGCTTGATCAGCCTCATGACCCGGAACAGGCGAAAGAAGGCGCTGGAGATACGGGCGCTCTCGTCCGGGTCCTGCGGGCCAGCGCCCCAGAGGTCAGTCTGGAGGTGGCACCTCAGCGGAGGAAGGAGCAGGCGGGGCGGGAGGGGCAATGTGTGTGTGCTGGGGAGACATCCGTGGCAGACAGGAGTTCCAGCCCCAGCTCGTGTCCCCTGCCGGACCCTAGCACCCGATCCTCCTCAGGCTTAGGGCTCTGGGCTTGGGGAGCCAAAAGGAGGGAGGTGGCCCCTGCAGGGCGCTAAGCCCATTCTCGGAAGAGGCAGCGGGGACTCAGCCCCGGGCCCTGGGAGGCTGCAGCCAGGCCCACTGCCTGTCCTCCTGGGGCCTCCTGCCTCTTCGCACCTTCTCCTCAAACTGCCACTGAGCGGAGGACACTTTCAGTGCGGGTTTCCTAAAGCACGACTGCTCTGTCCCCATCCATTCACCACGGCCACTCCACCACCCCACCGAGCACAAGGCTGTCCTAAGCCAGGCTAGCCTCAGACACCCGGACAACTCTGGAAGGGGAGAGCCCTGCCAGGCTTCCTGTGTCCCCAGAGACCTTGTGCCATCGAGCTGTCACTAAGGTCCTGCGCCAGCTAGCAGTCACAGTCCTCTGGATGCTGCCGTCTGGATGGAGGGCGCCAGAGACCCCTTACCCTGTTTCCCAGGGCTCTGAGGAAAGCCACTGCAGCCATGCGCCTTCTGCTGCAGAGCCCACGCACCCCCCCCTCCCTGACCCTCCAGGGCGCCTGCTCTTAGGGAAGGAAGCCCTTGGGGCCGGATCCACCCCATGCAAAGCCACAGCCAGGCCCGAGCATGCAAGCTGCGGGGCGGAGAGCTGGCGGGCGTGCTGGGCAGGCTCATGCAGCCCGGAATTACAACGTTCCCGCAGCCTCCACCCAGGCAATACAGTCCTCCGCTGGAGGCCAGGAAAGTCTGTGGAGAGAAGACACCAGGGGAAGGGCAGGGGAGGAAAGAGAGAGGAGGAGGGACACAGGGGGAGGGGGCAGGTGAGGAGAGGCATCAGAAAGGACACACAGAAGAGTTAAAGAGAGAAAAAGAGCGGCAGGGGACAAAGACCCCGAGTGGTTGCCAATCAGGGGTGGGGTGGGTGGGTGGGTGGGTGTGAGGACGAAGCTGTGGGGACAGTGAGGCAACAGGCTGGGGACAAGGGAGCAAGAACAAGAGGGAAGACCAGAGGGGGACGGGTCCCTGCCCGTCTCCGGGATGTGCCTACAGCTGACAAGGGGCCCAGGTTCTTCCTGTGTGTCTGGGTTATGACATGCTGGGGACATCCCTGAGGGGACACATTGCAGTGTCGGCCCTTCACTCCGAGTGGACTCCCACCCCTGTATCTCCCCAGCTCCCTTGTGCCTCCGAGGCCCTTATGGAAGTCCCACCCTCTGGGGGCAAAGGCCCTCTGTGGGGGGTCTGCGCTTCCCACAGCAGACATCTCTCTGTCCCTGGCCCATGAGCATGACCAAGGCTTCCACTCCAGCAGCCAGGTTCTTGAGTTTTTCCTATGTGTTCAGCATCTCTCTTAGGCCACCTTTCACGAGAAACCCTTGCCCTGGAGTCATGGGGCAAGGGGAGTCATCATTGAGTCTTCCCATTATTTGTGGGTGAACTGGTTCCCAGTACACCGGTTTCCCCGCCAGGAAACATTCCCTTTCCCCTGGGCCACTGGTTCTCACACCTGCCGCCATATTGGATCCCATGGAGAACTGAATAGATTCCTTCCCTGGGTTCCCCACCCAGGCCAAGGAAGTCAGCTTCTAGGGGGTGGGCCTGGCTTCAGACGTTTCAGTGCGTCCCAGGGGTTTTAATACGCAGCTACGGATGACCACCAGTGTTCCAGACCTGCGCGGCCCTTATGGGAGCTTCCAGGCCCATGCAGCTCTCTGAGTTACAGTGATGATTAAATCAAGTGAGAAATTTATTCCCTCATTTGCACCAGTCACATTTCAGGTGACCAACAGACACACGTGCCTAGCGGCAACTGTACCACATGGGGCAGAAGATTTCTATCATTGCCAAAAGTTCTAACAGACAGTGTTGCCCTGGTCCGCTCCCCGGTTTGTAGGTCAGGAATAGAAATCAATATTTAAATGTAAAGCCTTAACATGACTCCAAGAAAACATTCATTCTTGGTAACTCTGCTCCTAAAAATCAAATAATGACCGACACCCTCTGGGTCCTCTGCCACCAAAGAATTCTCTTGACTTATCCAGGCTTCCTCTACATAAACCCCAAACCTCCAGAAGTAATTACCTTTATTTGGGGCTGTTTATTTTAGCTCTTTAGAGTTCTCTCTTCTAACTTGGGTTTCAAACCCTGGGGCCTTTGGGGTGTTGTTCCCCAGTGGAAACTGAACATAGATGGAAATATACAACATCCACACACCCACGCGTGTACACGTGCACACCAGTTTTGCCCAGGACCCAACCTGCCCTTCGTCTGCCCCACCCTCTTGGGATCTGAGCAGACAGAGTTCTGTCATTGTCTTTCAGTATATGGGGGTGAACAGGATTCCCAGGCCAAGCCCTCCCCCAGACAGTCTGCGAGGCAGCCAAGTCCCCAGAAGGTGCTGCCTGCCAGGGCTGGGCCTCAAGGAATCTCAGGCTGAGAGCTCCTTCCTCACAGGCTCCAGACTTTTCCTCAGCTGCCCACCTCCGAGGTGTCTCTAGGGCCAGTCCTCTCCTCTACCTCTCCACCCAGCATAGAATTCACCCCTGGATTGGCAGAGTCTAAAGGGCTCATCGACGGGCAGCAAAAGTTCAGGAGGAAGCCCTGCACATGGGGGAGGCCTCTGGCTTTGGGGCTAGTCCACAGCAGCCCCTGAACAGAAGCCCAGCATGGCCATGGTTAGGGGGCTCAGAAGGCTCTTCTCTACGCCCCTCCCGTGATACAGCTCGGTAGGCACCCTGCCCAGAGGACAGTTGTCTCTTGATTTCAGCCTCTCTTCCCTGTCCCCTGCTCCCCTCTTCCACCCTGCAGTGACTCCCCCACCCCCACGCCATCCCCAGCTTCAAATCTACAGAGAGGCCAGCCTGGAGAGCTCTCGACTTTGAAGATCTCAAACATGGATCTCTCTGGCTGAAGCCTCCGGCCTGCCCCCGTGCTCTTTCTCACTCCACCCTGCATCCCCTCTCCCCACTTCTGTTGGTCCAGCTCCTGGGGCCATACGCCTCTCCGCTCAGCCTTGACCCTTGTCTTGTCATTTCGACAACCCCCTTGCTTGCACTGAGACGCTCCACCCAACATGCCAGCCCTCCAGACCACACCTGAGGTCCGGTCCCTTTCCCCAATCTCCCGGGCCACCGAGCAGGGCCTGACTCCAGGGTGCATCTGAGCTCACTAGGCCCACCCCAGCCCCATCATTCTTCCTGCAGGTGGACTCATCACATTGGCTAGTCCTCAAGAGTCAGTTCCCACCCTCATGCCCATTGTCCTGTCCTCCCTCCCAATGGAAGATTCTGCCTACTGCCTCGGACACTCCCGTGGCTGCCCAGGATGAACGCCATGGACCATGCCCCGGCTCCCTTGCATCCTTCACAATTCTCATGACCTCTGCTTACGCTCTTCCTCTTCCAGTGGTCTGACTCATGTCCTTGGCTGTCACCTCTGAAAATAATCCCTTCCTCAGCAGTCTCTTCTCATGCTGTGAATTTCTCCCGTGCATGGGTTCCGCCTGTAGTCTCCCTTGCCCTAAACTCAGCACCCACCACTTTCCAGCTACTACCTCTACTGAACTCCTTGCAAGTTCCAGACTGTTTCCTGTACGCATGGACATTTTTTCTCACTTTCTGGTCACTGCTCCCTGCTTATCGTTGGCTCAAGCCCACAGTCTACCCTGCTCAACAGACAACTTCCTCATCGCAAACCGAGTGGCTCTGCTGGCTCCAACTCTGCGGGATCTCAACTCCTCACAGCCGGCTCGTCCCACCCGAGGTTTCGACTATCACCTCTGCGCATCAGGGTCCAGCTCGTGTCAATGGAGCTGCTACTCCCCTGGATACAGAGTGACCCTCCGTTCCTCGCCCGCATTTCCAACGACTTGCTACCCATTTCCACTTGGGCACCCGGCACCCAAGCCCACAGCCCCAGAACAGAATCATGGTGAGTGCGTCCCCCCAGGTCTTTCTTTTCGGGCGGTGCTGAGTCTCTCTGGACTCCTTCCTTCCTGTGGCCCCAAGTCACCAAATCCTGTTGCCTCTGAGCCTTTCTGTTCCTCTCCTGCTCTGAGCCCTGGCTCTCATGGCTTCATGCCCATTTGCTTTCTGTCCCCTCTTGCTAACAGGGATGTACTGGGGCTTTCTTAAATCCAGCTTCTCCCCTGGGACACTGGGTCTTACGCCCTTTCATTTATTCACAGTCTTTGCTCCTATAGTTTGCAGAGCCTGAAGCTAGGCTGTCATTTCTCCCACTTTCAAGGAAACCCTCCTTGGCTCCACATTCTCCTCCCAGCCTCTACCCTATTTCTCTCTGTAGTAAAACACCTGAAAGGAATTGCCCCTCGCATTCTTTGTTCTCCCTTTCTGGTCCACTATAAGCAGGGATTCTTCCCCATAATTCCAATGAAACTGTTCCTGTCAAGGTCCCTGCTGATCTCCTCATTGCCAAAATCAAGTCAACACTCAGCTCCCATCTTTTTCAACTGTTTTGTTCTCCTGGTGGTGTCTCAGGACACCACTGTCTTCTGGTTCCCCTGCCTCAGGGGCCAAGCCTTCCTCAATCTGTTCGCTGGTTCCTCCCCGTCTCTCCAATCACTAAACATGGGAGCATTCCAGGGCTCAGCCTTCAGACCCTTTCTCTCTAGATAACCTCCTCCCTTCTCAGCAGTTGTCGTCCCTCCCCCACAACTTTAAATACCATCTTCAAATTTAGATACGCCCACCTGCCCTAAACTCCGAGCTCCATCCAGACTCATAAATCCCAGCCTACTTGGTGTCCCCATCCAGGTGCCTCATGAGCACCCTAGATTACCACGTCTACAACAGAAATCTTGGTTTCTACCCCACACCCGCCTGCTTTTCCAGCAGCTTCCATATCTCAGTAAACAGAAGCTCAGTTCCTTGGACAAAAATCTTTGTAGTCACCTTCAGTTTGTTTTTTCTCTCTTACTCTAAATCAAGGCCATGTGCAAATTCTGTCAGCTCACTCTCGCGAACAGATTAGATGTGTCTAATTCTTGCTACATCCACAGCTACCCCCGTCGCCACCATCAGCTCTGGTGGTAATCACAGCAGCCTCCTGACTGCCCTCCCTTGGCCAGCCCCATGTCCCCCACAGCTTGCTCTCAACACAGCCGCTAAGGGGATCCTTTTAGAACTAAAGTCAGACCAGGTTTAAGCCTTCCAAGCAGCTCTCATCTCTCTCAGAATAAAAAGCAAGATCGTAAACATGGCCTTCAAGGGACTAAGTGATCTAGCCCTTGGCCTTCTGTCTCTGACCTCATTTCCACCATCCTTCATTCCAACCACGAGGGCCTCCTACTACCCCTGCAACTCAGAGCCTTTGTACTCACCCATTTTTCTGTTCCCAACTCTCCCAACACCCGCATGGCTCCATCCTTTTATTCAGGTTGTCACTCACCTGGTGTCAGGTATCCTGACACCAACCCTTCACTCCCATCCCTTCTAAGCTTTCATCTTGCTTTATCTGTCTCTGTAATACCCACCGGGCCTACCTGCCATGCTGGAGGTTTACTGTCCGCTTGCCCCCGTGCTCCTGTTCCCTGCTGTATCCCTAGCTTGGGCGGGAGGTACTCAACGAGCATTATGTACTAAGTAAAGAAATGACCTACTCCCTAACTGGGTGTTCTCATTTTAGACATTCTCACCTCTCACCCCTTGCCTCCAGATCATCTTTCTAGAAGAACAGCTTTAATCCTTCCACTGCTCTCTTCAGAAACCTCCCGTGACTTCCCTGCTACGTAAAATTCAAGGCCTTCCTCGCCCGCCTTCCCTTTCTTGCCGTACCCCCCACCCCCCCCCCAGGCCTCCTCTACATGCTCACGTGATCTGCTAAACCAGACCTCAGTGCCCTGAATTTTCTATCATTCGTCTCCTTCTCCGTGTCTCTCCTACTGCAGCCTGCCTGTGTGGCTTGCTTGTCCCTCTGCCTCCAGTCACGAGCTCCCCTTTCCTCAGGACCCACTTCAGTTTGCGCCACCTCCATGAAGCCTTCCCTGACCACTCCACCTTTCCCATCCACAACAGCTCTAGCCCTGGGCAGCCTGGCACATGGATTATGTCCACCTGGAATCTGAGTTATCTGTCCGCCCTGTGGGCTTGTGGCTCCCGGCATTTCCATCTTTGTAAATCCCCAGGGTGCCATGCTACACACACAGCAGGTACCCCACACGTTTCTGGGGAGCAAATAAGTGCTCACACCCCACCCCGGTGATGGCTCTGTGTGCCCGATACTCACGTCGATTTCACTGAGGATGACGTCGATGATGCTGCCGATGACAATCAAGAAATCAAACACATTCCAGGGGTCACCAAAATAGCCCTGGGAAGGACAGCATGGGAGAATCCGAGGGTAAGCTTTAGCGGGAAGGAGTTTGGGTGCCCAGCACGCAGTGGTGGCCCCCAGCCGAGGTGATGCAGAACGGCCAAGCCGGGCCAAGGTGGGGTGCCCGTGGCTCTACTTTCCACTAAGGCTCCTGTGTGACCACACAACCCACTACTCCCTCTCCCTCTGGCTCTGTATTTCTCCTCCTCCAGAGCATGATATGGTTGGAGGGGAGAGAGAGAATGCTTGAGAACTCAGAATCTGGGTTCCTGGTCTGGATGGGGAACTCTTTTTCATCTGCCCCAGATCAAAGCCCTGTCTAGGTCTCCATAGTGCAGAACTGCAGGTGGGGTGGGGGGGTGGCCGGGCAGGGCTGGGCACGGTGGGAGTGGACTGGGGAACCAAAGACACAGCAAAATACTCCCCCAGCCCTGGGCTTCCTCTTCAGAAGCTTAAGGGGAGGCAGGGAACATAAGAAACCCTCAACAAAGGGCGCTGGGAAGAGGCAGCCAACACTTATGGCCATCGCCAGTTCCGGCAGCCTGAATATCTCGCGTGCCCTGTGTCCGAAGGAGGAAATGTGCCAAAGAGTGAGCAGGGTGGGAGCAGAGGTGCTGGACGAGGGGGCCCTTCAGTAGAACAAGACCGGTGTGGCGGTGCTCCATGAGAAGGTCCCCTTCCCTCCAGGCTCCACCTGCCCCCTGTCTCCCCTGCACTCACCCTGGCCTTGAACGCCATGAGCTTGAGGACCATCTCCAGGGTGAAGATGATGGTGAAGGCCACATTGAGGATGTCTGAGATGTGGTTCATCTCCTCTGACTGGTTGTAGTGCTATGGAGAGGCACAGGAGAGGGGGGCTGGGAGGGCCCGTCTTCTCTGCCCTGCAGGGGGCATCCCAGAGCTCTGTGCTCTTCCCAGACTGCCCCAGTCCTCTTCGTTGGGTTTCCTGCCCATTTTCTTTTAAATCTCAGAAGACTGGGTGCCTGCTTTAGCTACCCTCTGAACTCCACCAAGTCTGATGGATCCCACAGAGATGGTGAAAGGAGGAGATGGGGTCCTGCTGGTCCACCTGTGGGCTACAAAGCCAGAGCTCACTTCCAGATCAGTTACGGGATGACCAGGAGGGGGGCCCCCCAGCAGGGCTTGGGGACAAGTTCCACCTAGTCACTGGAGCACAGGACCAGGAGAGAAGATCGCTGGCTCTAGCGCTGGTATAATCAGCAGCCACAGGTATACTGGTGGGCCACCGAGCTCACCAGATAGACTGTATTCACACTGCCCCTCCAGCCCCCCACCCCGTGATGGCGAGATGATTGAAGCAAGAAAGTTAGCCCCCTTGCTCCACCCCTGTGATCCTCCTTCAATCTATTTCCTTATAATATTTGCCAGGAATCCCTTACTCTTTTTGGAAAGCTGACGAAATCCCACTTTTCCAACAAAACCTTCCCAGGTAGTTAGTTCAGAAGGATCTGTGGGCCTCTGCCCTACCTGGTCTTGCAGGACGGCCTAAGTCTGGGCCTAGTTCAGACTCAAACTTGAGCCACTGCTCATGGCCCTCGGTGGGACCTGGGCCTGCCAGCCCCATGACTCCTCTTCCATGTCCTCATCACCTGGCCACGCGGGGTCCTGCGGCTGGGGGTGTCTCAGGCTGCCTGGCGGCACCATTCTACTTATACAGGCCTGATGGGAGCTGAGGCTTCTTTAAGGTTTGCTAATGATGCTGTTGATTACGAGAGTGTCTATAAAGTATGCTCAACTCCTAAGAGACACCTGTTCTGTGAATATTAAAGCCACTTTTCTTGAGACCGGAGCCAAAATTCCAACCAACTCCATCAGCCACATTTGCAACAGCGGAACATAAACCGAGAAGGCACTTTCTCCTTCCTACACAGCCTTGTGCTTCTACTTAGCGATCTCCTGTTGACTGACTCTGTTGTTATTTATATGTGTGAATTCCTCCTAATAAACCGGTGGGTGCCCGGCAACAAGGTCTGGGCCCAGGGCACTCTTCTGTCCCCCTTCGCACCTCACCGCACTGTGCCCAGCACCTGGCAGGTGCCAGGAAAATTATGGGGGGCAGGGCAGGAGCCAGGAACCCTGCCCTCCCCACCTGCCCTGCCCCGGCACCTGTCCCTCAGGCCCTTGTCTCCCGGGGGGCCCTTACCTGCATGCCCAAGCAGATGGTGTTGAGCATGATGAGGGCAAACATCAGATACTCGAAGTAGGACGAGGTGACGACATACCACACCTGATACTGGTACGGGTTCTTGGGGATATAGCACCTCAGCGGGCGGGCCTTCAGGGCGTACTGCACACACTGGCGCTGGGACACAATGCCACAGGGCGGGTGAGCGAGGAGGGCCCCCCCCCTTGTTCTCACGCTCTCATGAGTGGGCTCGAGGGCACCCTGCCTTCTGGTCAGCCAGGAGCCGCTGAGGCCAGGAGCTCATGGCGGATGAGCTTTGCAGGCCTGTTGAGGGGAAGGGGTCCAGTGGGCCTGTGGGCTCCCCCTGCACTTCCCCAGCCTATTTCAAACATGGCTCTCGTCCCAGCCAGGGTTCTGAAGGGTCTCCTCTGGGCACAGTTAGGGTTCCGTGAGCAGACTCCCACACCACCAACTCGTGTTGCTTCATGTTAGAGAATGGGTCAGAGATGGGGTAGAGTGCGTGGAGGCTGGGTCTGGGCATGAAATGGAAATTCTAGGGTCATCTTTAGCCCTGGGACTTTCACTGGCCAGAGCCTAGGGCTCAGGCCGGCAGAAGGCCGGCTGGGGCTCTGCTCCCCACCTCAGCCCAGGCACCTGGTTCTTGTCCAGCTCACAGTTCTTGTACTCAGTCTCTCCCTGCTCCTGGAAGGTGACAATGACGAAGCCCACAAAGATGTTCATCATGAAGAAGGCAATGAGGATGATGTAGATGATGAAGAAGATGGCCATCTCCACTCTGTTGTTGTAGATGGGGCCCATGTCCTCCTTGTATGAGTCTATGGCCTGGTAAAGTAGCCTTGGGAAGGGCAGAGAAAAGCCTGGGATGGGCTGGGGTGATGAGGAAGAGGGTTAGGCCAGGAAGGGTGGATTTTATCCCACTGGCCATGGGGAGCCAAGAGAGCTTTCTGAACCAGCAAGCGACAGGAGGGAAGTGAGGACTTCCAGAAAATGCTGGAGCAGGTCCTGGAAAGGGCCCATTTTCCCATGGGATGGCTCATCTACCCAGATCAATCACTAGGGCTCCCCATGCGGGCTGAGAAGCCCACACCTGCTGGGGGACTAGGGACATTTTATCAGCATCCCCAGGTCAGGATATCTTCGGAGGGCCAGTCAACACGCTAGTCCTTCAAACCCTCCAAGCTGGTGGGTCTGTTGAGCACTTACCACGGGCCTGGCACAGAGCAGCAAGGGCTGCAGCAGGCCGAGATGGCTCCCCAGCCCTGCCCCCACCGTGCTCGTGCGGGACCCAGTCCCCAACCCTCACTCACTGAGGCCATCCCTCAAAGGTGGAGACTGTGAAGAGTGACATCATGGCCGAGAGCACGTTGTCAAAGTGGAAATCACTGTGTACCCACTGGCGTGGGCGCAGCTCCATCTGCGTGGGGTCCCCATCCTTGTACACATAGTAATAGCCCCTGAGGTGGGGGAGGCTCAGTCATTCCCCTGGACAAGGCCTGGTCTCCTCCTTCCCACCCGAATCCTCTGGGCCCTGGGCAGTGAGCATGCCGGAGAAAAATGGCCCAGACTGGGGACCAAAGGAGACACTGCTGGGTCCTCCTTCCCTGCAGCTACCCAAGGAAAGGCACTTTAGAACATTCTTACTGGGCCTAGGAGCTCGGGTTCCCCAGGTCCCTCTCACACAAGGTCCCCTGTCCAGTGGCCGTCCCACTGTGTGTCCTCAGCCAGTAGCGCTCAGCCCACCTGCACTCCTTCTCTGTCATCTTGGATAAGTCATTGCAGCTGAAGAACTTCCCCTGTGTCCCCGAGGAGGAAGGAGGGAGAGAGAGACACACGTTGTCACAGAAACAGCATTCAGTGGGCAATGGAGGTAAATAGTGGGAGTGGGAGGGGAAGGCAGGACATGAGGAAAGAGGAGCTTGTCTGTTCCTTAAAGAGGGGGCAGGGCCCCAGAAGGGTCTTTCTCCTTCTCCATTCCCTCAGCTACCCCGTGGGCTTCCCCACCAGGCCTGAGGCTGCCAAGGCTGAGAAGCCAGTTCCTTAGCAGGAGCCTTTGCTGCAAGCCCCAGGCTGGGTCTGAGGGGAAGGAAATACAAACACGCTTGGCCCGTCTCCTCCCTCAGTCAGCCCCTTTCCCTCTACTGCTATAGGACACCCTCCTGCCAGTGGGGTGGCCACAGGGCTGCCATGGGAATAAAAGCCACAGGAATGGAGCCCAACAGGGCCATGAAGGTGCACATTGTCTCAAAGTGGAACAGGGATCCCAGCATGGGATCCCGAGGGCCTGAACAAGTCCCAGCACTGTGCCCCCCAGACTGATTTCAGGCAGATCCGTTTCCTTTTTTTTTTTTTTTTTTTTATCTATATCACAGACTGGGCACCCACGGAAGAGTTTCTTTGGAGAAAAGAAGTTGATTGCTAGGTCTTCATGTGGTTAAATTAAGTTTGAAATCCACGGAATCTCGCTGGGTTCCCTAAAAGGCCCCCAGAGGGAAATGCTTCAGTCCAGGATATGGAGCTAGTCGAAGGCACAGCCGTCCTACCCACTGCAGGTGCTTGCTGTTCCAGACACACCCTCCTTTCCAGTTGCCAGAGCAGAGAGGCGCAGGGGAGGCGGGTGACATCGGGGGAGAAGAGGGGAGAGGACACGTTGCCACTGGGCAGTTTTGTGGGGACTTGAAACCAAACACTCAATTTAATACAGAAAGAAAACTCTTGATGTAATATGGAATGTATGCACAAGTGTCCGCTCTGTAAAACGAGAGGTAAAATGCCACTTGTCACTGAAGTCTGACCATTATCGGAATGGGCAGCATTTTTTTTTTAAGTTATTTTTTTTTTTTAACTTTGCCAGAGAGGTAGAGAGCACAAGTAGGCAGAGCAGCAGGCAGAGGGAGAGGGAGAGGCAGGCTCTCTGCCAAGCAGGAAGCCCAATGTGGGGCTTGATCCCAGGACCCTGGGATCATGACCTGAGCTGAAGGCAGCCGCTTAACCGACTGAGCCACCCAGAATGGGCAGCCTTTTGCTAAAAGACTAAAGCACAGGAGAGTTAGGGGTTGTGGGACAGCTGCTCTTGCTTGGAAGGGACACAGGAGCCAAAGGAAGGGGTTGCTCATTCATTCTTGAAGGCAGCATGTTGTGTGGGCCAAACGCACTCCAGACCCGGGCTGGGTGCCAGAGTCAGGGATGAGTCAGATACAGACTCTGCCCTCAGGAGGCCCCAGGGCCCCTGGCCTGGCAGTGGAGGGGGCAGGGGGAGAGGGAAGGGGGCAGCCCTCCGCTGGTGCCAGGAGAAGGTCCCATGCAGATCACAGTGAGCACTGTTTCGAGGCTAAGCTCTCTCAATCTCGATGTGGTCTCCTAGGTGATGCCCTCCTCTCACCGCCACTGCCAGGACAGTAACCAACAGGACCCATCTTCCTTCACGTCATCTGGACTGCTGCTCTCCACCCTGACTGCTCTCCCCAAAGCCTGCTCCCTGCCCACTGGGAGAGACTTGGGCTTGCTTCATGACCCTTTCTCAGCCTTAGCAGAGGCCCTGGCCCAGAGAAAATGCTCCAAAATGTTGAATGAACGAATGACTGTAAGATGACACCACTGCCTAAGTCTGACTGCGATGATGTCACCGTGATTGTCACGCTGGGGGTCAGGAGCAGATTGGGTCGTGAGAGGCAGTGTCAAGGGTGTTGGCGGATATACTTCAATACCGATTTCTGTGTGATGGGCAGAGGCATTCAGAAATCAGCTGGGTGGGAGGGGACACCTTGCCGGGTAATTTCTAGAGAGGAACTGCAGAGCTGTGTCCTCCCAAGAAGGTGAGAACAGAATGAGGCAGCTCCTGGACTAGAATGACGGCCTCCCTCCCTCAGAGGCTCCTGGTAGATGTGAATGATGCCAGACATTCCAGCGGGGAGCGTGGGGTGCAGCGGACTGAAGCAAGTGGAGTGGGCGGGGCTGGAGTGGGGAGCATGTTTAGACAAGCCTGGCTGGATGGGACAGGTGGGAGCGGTGCTCACAGAGCCAGCTGGAGGGGAAGGGACCTCCATCCTTAAGGAGAAGCTGCTCGGAGAGCCAGGAAGACAGCAGGTGCCACGGCCACGGCAGCCAGCCGAGCCAAAGGGGCCAGGGAGGGGCATCAGGAAACCACATCCAGACTCCAGACGGCTGAACCTCACAGCCCCGCGCACGCAAGGACATCGTTTGCACACTTCGGGTCTCCCTGTGCTTAGAGGCAGGGAACGGACCGGCTCCAGCCTTGGCCTGACAGCTGGCCCCGGAGCTGGGGAGAGGAGGCGGACTGCCCGGGCAGGCGGGGCTCACCTTGAAGAGCTGGACGCCGATGCAGGCGAACATGAACTGCAGGAGCGTGGTGACCAGGACGATATTCCCGATGGTGCGGACGGCCACAAACACGCACTGCACCACGTGCTGCGGAGGGAGAGCCGGTCGGCCCCGGCCCGCCCTCGCCATCCCTTGCTGCCTCGCCGCTAGCGGGAGGGAGGGAGACGTCCGCGGGGGACGCAGGGCTGCCCAGCCTCACCCTTCCTGTGCCCCCCACCCCGTTTGGCAAAAGGGACAGAACACACGTCCCTGCAATGGCTGGGCCGAGGTCTCTTGCTTCGGGCCCCTGCAGCCCCTCTTTCCTGCTCCTGGGGTCCTGCACACGCCCTCTCACCTTCAGCCCTTTGGCTCTGTTGATGGCCCGGAGGGGTCGGAGCACCCTCAGCACCCTCAGGATTTTCACCACGGAGATGGCGCTGGACCTGGGGGAGGGCAGTCGAGGAGTGGGCACTGCTGGCCGCCTGCTCCGGCCTCCTGCCGCTAGCCCGCCGCATCTGCCGCCTCTCTGCCTGGAAGCCCTCCAAGTCTTCCCCGCTCCCGTAAGCAGCGTGTGTGCTCTAACCCAGGATAAAACCACCTCCTGCTAACGGGTGCCGAGCCGTGCGGCACAGTAAGGGCATGACCCAAAGCTAGGGGCCGTGCTCCCTCAGTGTAGCTGGAGGACTGCCTTCTCCTCTCCGCATCCCCTCCTACTTTCCAGGACACTGCTCTGGCCACTTAGCATGGTCCCTTTGGTCCAGTTAGTGACACACCAGGGGACCCTGGACCCTGATCCACGGCCCCAAGAATCTCTCCCCTTGCAGCTTGGTGTCTACCAACACACGGTGGGGCTCCGCTCTGAGGAGGGGACCACATGGGGATCACCCCTGTCATTGCTCACTCAAGTCCCATGGAGATGAGGGACACGGCCACCACCAGCAGGTCCAGGATGTTGAAGTAGTTGCGGCAGAAGGAGCCCTTGTGCAGGAAGGCACCATAGGTCGTCATCTGGGGGGAGAGGCAGCATCCTGGGTGGGGGCGGGGCTTGGGAACACACCTGTCCCCATGAAGTAGGGCTTTTCTAGGCAAGATTTGCCTCAGTCTGCTCGCAAGGCACTCGCTGAGGCAGAGAGCTGCCAGAGGCTCTCTCCTTCACTCTGCGCCTTGCTGCGTCCTCAGTGCTGTTTCTCCCATCCTCCGTTCCCGGTTCTGGAAACAGGACTTCTCACAGGCAGCTACGCCACACTTTGCTCTCTGAGCTCATTTCTGCTCACATGCCATAGGGCGCCCCAGTCTCCTTTCCCTGAGGCCACAGACTGGGGAAGCCCCGGCCCTCTTCTCCCTGACAAAACATGAGGAAACTCATCTTCCTCCTCCCAGGAGGGCTTCTTCAGAAGTCGCCTCTGCCCTGAGGATTGCTGAGTCAGGCTGAACAGCCCGCAGAGGACGGGAAGACCTTCACCAGGCCCCTGACCCTTCCCCTCCCTGTTGCCCCACCTTGTTACTGGTCTCTCAGCTTCTTTCCTGTGCTCTGTGATAATCTCCAAGGCCCTTTGCATAAACACCCTTGAAGTCTGATGGGCCTGAAGCCTTTCCTGGCATTGACAGTGATTTTGTCTCAACTCGCCTTCCTGGCTTCTGAAGCCAGGCCTCCTGTTTGTTCTGTGCTATGTCCCAGCCCAAAGAGACCACTTCCTCCCCTCTGAGCACATCCCAAACACCTTCTCACAATGCATGTGCTGTTGTTTTGTCCTCCTGGACTGGCCCTGCTATCTCTCCCTAATGAAGTCCTGTCCAACCTCAAGGGTTAACTCTAAGCCACCACCTCCAGGAAGCCCTCTGGGATGTCAGGGAAGCCACCATCCCCCTGCTCAACTCCTTTAGTAGTCAAGGGCCCTGATATAAGGAACTGTTCTGAATTCTTATTGCAACCTGCTCTGGGCTACTCCTCCTGCAAAGCTTCCCTCTCCCCTCCTTATTCATGAAAGTGAAGGCTGGGGCTGCTGGGTCTCAGTTATAGACGGGCCCTCCCTCTGCCTCTCAGACCCTCCACAGGGATGGCGATGATGTGAAATCCATGGTCGGCCTGAGAAGGGGAGAGCAGTGATGTGCTGTGGGTAAAGAGGGGGAGGGCCACGATAGGGCAGAGCTGCCAGAAATCCATCCAGGGCAGAGGTCACTTCTCTGAGGACCTCTGGAGAGAGGTCTTTCAGTCACATGTCATGAAGGTCTAGGAACAAATCATAGCTCCCTGAGTCTATTCTTAGGCTAACCGTGCCTTCCTTCTGCAGGAAAAACGCCCGAGGCGACAGAGAGAAGGGTTGTGCTCACTGAGAGGTGCAGAGACACACAGCCTCTGGGCTGGTTGTACTTCATGTCCCCACCTGGCCACATGCTCACCTGTTTGCCCCAGCTTATGAGCAGCAACCCCATCTGCTCTCCTGGATCTGGTGAGTCCTTCCCTGATGTTCTCTGCTCTCCTCTTGCTTTTCCCGCATCCCTGCAACCCAGCCTCTGAGTGGGTGCACCATGTGAGTTGGAGCCACATCAGGTCTAATGTCCTGGCCTGCAGACATCGCTCTGTAGACAGACCCAGGCTCTCCTACAGCCTTCACTCACCTTGAGGACAATCTCCACAGTGAAGACAGAGGTGAATGCAATGTCAAAATACCCAAGGATCTGGTGACAGAGCAGAGGAGACAGAAGTCAGTGAAAGGGAGGGCTGAACAATGATATCATTATTATCTTCAATGCCATCACCACCATCATCACCACCACCATCATCATCACCATCATCATCGTCACTACTATCATCATGGTTGTCACCATCACCACCACCATCGTTACCATTACTATCACCACTACTACCACTATCATCATCACCATAATCATCACCACTGCCATCATCAGCATTATTATCACCACCATTACCACTATCTTCATCACTACCACCACTGCTGTCATGACCATTACTATCACCACCATCACCATCATCATTACCATCATGACCATTACCATCACCATCTACCATCACCACTACCACCATCATGTCCACCACCACTACCATCATTGCTATTACCATCAGCACCATTACCACCATCATCATCACTATCATTATCACCACCACCACCACCACTATCATCATCGCTACCACCACTACCGTCATCGCTACCACCACCATCATCACTACCCCCACCGGTATCACCATCACCACTACCATCATTGCCATTAACATCACTACCATTACCACCATCACCATCACCACCACCACCATCATAATCATCACAATCACCCCATCATCATCATCACTATCACCACCATCACCACCATCACCATCACCACTACCACCACGACTACCACCATTGCCACCATCCCCCTCATCATTAAAACTAGGCACCAAGAGCCCGTCTGTGATATGTGCTGTGGCAACACTGTTCCGAAGGAGTGGCTCGGGCATCTTGGTCCTCCAGGGACTTGAACTTTAAGAGACTCTGATGCCTGCAGCTGCGTAGAGCATACTGAGCTCTGAGCAGCAGTGAGGTGTGCAGGTGGCTGAAGCCGGGTGGGGAGGGGTGCTGAGCTGGCAGAAAGCGGGGATCCGCCATCACCTGATTCCTCACAGACTCAGCCCGGATGGGGTCCTCGGCGGCCAGGGCGGCACTGCTGAGCAGGATGAAGAGCAGGATGAAGTTGGTGAACCAGGTGGCATTGACAATGCGGTGACACAGGACACGGATCCTGTGGGGGAACAGTGAGGGGACCAGGAGAACTGTGAGCCCTTGGGCACACAGGCCTCTCCAGCCTCTGTAGGGCAGAGAGACCCTGGAGCCTGCATCTGAAAGGCCCTCTGGCTGGACACGCCAGGGCTGGTCCACCCCACCCCTCCTGCTCTTTCTGCGGCCTCAGTCCCCTCCCCCAGCCAAACCCCTGCCCCCACCCACCCCAGCACTCCCCCGCCACCCTTGGTTTCCAGCCAAGCGAACAGGGCAGGCTGATCCCCATCCCGGAAGCAGACAGATGAAACTCCGTGAAGACTGTAGTCTGTGCATATGTTAAAGGTTTAGGACTGTGAAGCCAATAAGAACTACAGCTTCACCTGGTTCTCATCCCCCATCCTGTCTAAAATCGCCCTCAAAAAGGAAGCAAAATATACAAACCCTCTTAGCTGTAAGTAACCGCTAAGGTTTCGAGCACTCCTTCTCCCAGAGATACTAGCATTTTAAGCAGGGCACAAGATAGTGTCATGGTAGGCCCAGAGAATCAGGAGAAGGGGGTCCTTTTAGAGCAGAAACCAGCCCCTTCTGAGAGCCCCAACAAGCACCCTGCAGAGCAGCCGAGGGGCCACCCACTTGTTGGTGGGGCTGAAGATGAAGAAGGAGCTGGCTTCTGGAATGGGCACCGCCTTCTCTTTCAGCTGCAGCTCAGCCAAGGGGCGTGGTCGGGGGCTCACGGGGATCTCAGGCTCATCTTCTTCATCATCGCCTGTGCGGAGGGGAGAGAGAGAAGTTGGAGGCATCTTTACATACTTTCCTGCTCCCCAGGTTCTGTGCTCTGAATGCAACCATGAACCCCAAACCACAAACAAGTGAGGGTGGGAGCAGGCCAGTGCAGGCCACAAGGGTGTCAGCAGAGTCCAGCCCAGGCCTCTCCCTTTCCCCTTGGGGAATAGGTCAGGGAAAACTGTCGGTCCCAGAACCCTCCAGAAGTGGGGCCAGGAGCAAAGTCGAGGAGTCTTGCTGTTTCATCTTCTGTCTCAGGCTGGACTCACACCATCTCAAATGCTCACAGTTGGGAAGTAGAGGGGGGACCGTGCTCCGGAGGAGACGTGAGTTGTGGTCCAGGCTCTGCCCCTAACTTGCTGTGCTGACTAGGCAAGACCCTGTCCTTCTTGGGTTTCAGCTTCCCAATTTGTGAAATTGATTAGGGACAGGAGGCTTATTGAAATAGACTCTGAGTTCCTCTCCTGGGCTAGGATTCTAAAAATAATCATTTCAGAGAGGAACTGCCAGCATGGAAAAAAAAAAAAAATCAATATCCTTGAATTTCAGCCAGTCGCCAGTACTGAGGCAGATCCTGGGGTGGGAGGGGTAGAGGAAGAAGAGATGGACCCTCTAGGTTTATTGGCTAAGTCTCACGGCCTCACGAGACAGCACACTCCCTGAGCTCCTCAGCTGGGGTGAGCGGGGAGGCGAGGATCCAGTGATCAGACTGGAGGACGCTGTCAAAATCGGGGTGCCCCTCACTGTCAGGTCTTGCCCTGTCTCCTATTGACCTCACCCCATAGCCACCTCACCGCTACTCCTCCTGGTCCTTTGGGGAAGCCCAGAAAGAGCCACTATATTCTGCTCTCTCCACTCGATTCTGCTCTCTGCACCAGCTCTCAGCTTCATCCCCTTTTCTCCTGCCTCACAACTAGCAACCTAATGTGACACTGCCCATCTTGCCCTGGCTGCCAAGGACCCCAAAACACATCTTATGCCTAATGGAAGAAACTGTTAATTCTTAAAGTTAGCATATCTGCTTTCTTCTTTCCCTATTTGTGCCCATTTTGTTCATTTCATTGTATGTATCTTTTGTCCTAAGCCTAAGGCATTTCAAATTGTCTTTTGGAAAGAAGCAGGATAAACATATTCAACCTCCTTAGTAAGAACTCCCTTCCAACCGCCCACCTCACAACCCCTCAACCCTCTACCCTCCCCACTTCTTTCCAACCCTTACCCTTTCCTTAACCTCCCATTTCCTGGGTCAGCCACCTTCCCCGGGATACCAGACACGCTCATCTGCTAGGTCATGGTCGTTAGATGAAACAGCTTGGGATCAATTACTTTAAAACCCAAATATTCATTACTGGCAGACGTTTAAAGAAATGTTATTAGTCCTGTCTCTATCAGCTCCGTGCTCCCCACACATCACTAGGCAAAATTGTTTCATGTGTTCATTCAATCTATTTATTGAGGGCCTACGCTGTGCCATTTGGGGCACAGAAAGTCCCCCTGGAACTTGAGTCGCTGAGGTAGAAAGATGCTAATCAGCGGATCCCACAAAGAGCCATGAAGTTGCACCAGTGACCCCAGGCTCCCAGGACCCATAAGGGAGCTAACAGGGAACGTCAGAGCTCTGGGGCTCCAGCCTCTTCCAAGTGGCTTGTTCACAGGAGCCCAGCCTGGCCCCGCTCTTGCCAAGGTGTTCTCTCCTTGCCACAGATGAATGGCTCTCTGCGGGAGCCACTGGTGATTTGCATTTGCGAGATGTTCACGGTTTCTCTGTGGCTGTGTATCACCCTCCTACCCGCCCTATCCTTGTCTCTTTCATTTCGATTTTTCCCACAGTGCAAGTCAAGGTTCTATTTATTCCTGTTTCAGTCCAGCCCCCAGACCTGATGGACACTGAGGGGTGAGCAACCTGTCCGTCTCCTACACCACACAGACAGACGTCTGTGGTCTGCTCCACGTGGCCAGAATGGAAAACTTGAAAATGGAGTCCTCAGCACTGAAGTACATAACGGGCACTCAGTAAATACTAGCTGAATTAAATGAAAACAGAATGTGTAGTTTTTTCTATTGTGTGTATTGTAGGGAGAGGCAGGCTTGTGGTGGCTCATATGCAGGACTAGGTCAGAAGGGATGTCTCTGTGTCGTGATCCCCTCATGGAAGGATCCAGGTAGGGGATGTGCAAGAGATTGTCCCTGGGGAGAAATCAACTCTCCAGCATACACCCTAACAGTCCCAAGACCCTCACCTGGGAAGTCAGCTGAAGGGTAAGGATCCTTTACTTCATTGACGTTAGATTCAAACTCATCGATTTTCAGCTGTAGGAATACAATGAAGATGATGAAAGCAAAAGCTGCAGTTTCTACTTACCTAGCACTTACGGGAGGGGTAGGGTAGGCGTTAGCTCAATTCTCCCTCCAGCCCGGGGGTAGGTAATAGTAGGATCATTCTTTTTTTTTACCAACGAGAAGCCAGGCCCTGAAAGGTCAGACGAGTTGCCAAGACCTCAGCCTGTCTGAGCCTGTGCAAGGCAACCCCGGCTTAGTTGTCTGGGACCCAACTCCTGAACCCTTTGACCTCCGCTTCCTCAGCTTCCAGAAAGGTTGAGCAGGGCCAGGCTGGAACAAGCAGGAAGTGGGGGGGTGGTGGGGAACCAGTCTGGGCCTCGCAATGGGACGGGGTGTCAAATGGGGCAGGAGACACCTGACTGGGGTAGGAAGCTGGGACTCTGAGGAAGTCTGGTTCCCAGACTGGGGTATCTGTGCCTCTCAGTACAAAGGATTCCTTGTGGGAGTGTAGCCATTGACTTTCTCCCCAGGAGAGTGGAGACAGATGCCCTCACCTGGATGATAATCAGGCAGATAGCCCCTCTCCACCTCCCTACCCACCCCCAGCACCCTAAGTCATGGGGGTGACCCAGAGGACTTGCAGAGTCCCTCCCCATCCTGCCTCTGAAAACACCCCATGTGATATGCTCACCTTGGCGGTGGTAGGGATGCCCTCGCCCCTGGGTTTCTGTTCCAGCTTCTTGGCCATCACTGACTTCTCCTCCTCTGACTTGTCTGGGAGACCCCTGAGTTAAAAAACCAAGGAAACCCATGGTAGAAGCCCGACTAGACAGTTCTCAGGGATCTGCTTAGTCTGATGGCATCCTCAGAGGGATCTCACACCAAGGCTCAGGGAGTTCTGTGGACAATGGAACAGTGCAGGCTTCCAAGAGGGAAGGGCTATAGGCCTGAGTCTCTGACAAGAAGGCATGATGCCCACCTTGGGCCCGTGGCTAAACATGGCTCACTGGTCAACCACACTCAGTGTTCATTGACAGGTAGATGGGTGGAAAGGGGCTTTGCACCTGGTTCATCAAGAATTCACAGTGTGGGAGCATGGTTTGGTCCAAGATGGGACTCAACTCTTTGGAAGTATCTGGATTTCATTGCTGGTCTTTCTGTCTTTCTCCTCCCATCCTGCCTCCCAAGGATGGGCATACCATTCCTGCAGATACGGGCATCGAAGGAAGCAGGACTTTGTCTAGAACCACTCGGTGTGGTTCTCCAGCCAACAGCATCGGCGCCCCCTGGGGGCTTGTTAGACCTGCCGACCATCAACCCCAGCCCAGACTTTCTGAATCAGAACCAGTATTTTAACAAGATCCCCAGGTGACTCATTTGCAGTGACTCGTTTCCAGTTAGACTGGAAGACCAGTCCTGCTTCTACTCCCAGAGGAGGGTCTCAGGCTATGGAGAGTTACACGCCAAACTCACTGACGGAGAGAAGAGTACAGCCCCGAGAAACCAACCACCACTAGGACATGTGCACGGCTCAGCAGAGGGAAAGGACTCCTTTCAAGAAGGCAAGTTCCCAGAACTCCCCACCAGGGTTCCCTGGTGGGATCCTGCCTGGCTCTGCTGTCCCATTTCCTGGGGCCACCTCCAGTTCTGCGCCCAGGGACAGCTCAGAGGACGTCAGCCATCCCTAAACATGTGGGTGCAGAAGTCTGCCCATTGGGACGGGGGTCACAGTGGCACAGCCCTTGCTCATCGGGCTCCAGCTCGGGGAAGCCACCACCAAGCATGCCAGGCCCCTCCCTGCTGGGGAGGCAGCACTCACTTGGACATCTTTCTGCGCTTTCTCTCCTCAGCCTTGGCCTTCTGGGCAGAAGTCAGGCTCTCGGCCTCAGCCAGGTTGTCCACAGCGATGGCCAGGAAGACATTGAGCAGGATATCTGAGGTCATCCTGCTAAGGAGTCTTGGGTTGTGGATGAAAAGGAAGACTCTGGGGTCAGAGTCCCACCCTGCCCAGTGGTTGGCAGGGCTTAACCCCACCGCCTTGGTGGGCTTGTCAGAGGGCCTCTTGCCAGAGTTACCACACGGGATGGCATGGGCCCGAGGACACGGACGAGCATCCGCAGGGCGGCCTGTCTGCGTGGGGGTACCCGTGATGGGCCTTGAGTGCCCCCCCATTTCCCATCCACGACTGATCCCAGCTTCCACACGGGGCTGAGTGGGGAGCCTGTGAGGCACTGTCTGAGAGAGTCATGCTCGGCACCCGTGAGCTCCAGGAACATTGGCTTCCTCCCTCCCCATCCCCCAACTCATAATACCTACCAAATGCCGTGTACAGACCTCAGAACCCCTGGGGCCTGCTGGCTCTCTCTGCCCCAACCACCCCACCCTTCCATCTGCTTGTCTCATTCTCCACCTGCCTCCTCCTTCATTCCTCCCTGCCTACCTCCCAAACCTTCGGACCAGGCTGCCTACCAACCTCATGGCCCTACAGCCAAACCTTGTCCTTCCTCCTGCCTGCTCCAGGCTCACTAGCCTCTCTAGGAAGAAATCTGCCCACACGTAACCAGTCACCTCTGTGATTCTTGAACATTCCTGGGGGGAGGGGGGAATTCTCCTACAGCTCTCCCTGTAATTGCTATTTGCCATGTCCTAGCCCACCCACCCTGCCCCATGAGTCTGGGGGCTCCCCTCCAGCCAGAGGGCCTGTTGCTTGGCATGTGCGTGCCCAGGACCCCCGTTTTCAGGGCCTCGCCCGCCCCCTCCCATAGCTCTTTTCTGTGCCCTGCCCCCAAGGGGATACAATTGCCACAGACGAAAAGGATGATGAAATAAACACACACGAGCACCCCGGGGTAGGATGGTCCGCCGTAGGCCATGATCCCATTGTACATCATGGAGTTCCAGTCTTCACCGGTCAGGACCTAGCGGGAGAGGGAGCACAGTGAGGGGAGGGGGTCGCAGAGGGTCTCCAGAGTCCTCTTTCGGGACTGTGTGGTCCCAAAGACCTCTAGACCTATCCTCTCTTCATCCACGACCAGGATGAAAGGCCCCTGCTCCCCTCCTGGAACCTCTTCCAATGGTCAGAAATCCTACTGTTGCCTCTCCAGAGCCAAGGGGTCTGACTGTGGGGTCACCACCTCCCTGTGCTCCGTTCCTAATGCCTAGGTTTAACCATACGGCCCCCACCCAGGCCTCCTGGCATCCCAGCCTCCAGAGCTAGCGTGAAATGTCAGGTGCCTTGTCCTGCGTGATGCCCGACCAGCCACGGGGTGAATGGAAGAGAGGGTAGAGTCATCTGGAAGACCCGCTGATGGCCATACACGGCCCTTCTCACGGGTACGGACTGAGGTTCCCGGTGAGTGCCGGCCCCGCACAGAGGAGCGTTTCTCGGCTCTACACCGAGGAAGCTCCTCTGGGAGGCCCACGGCTCTGAAGGCCTCAGGTACATCCCAGCCACGCTCCTCTGGGCGGCTTCTCGTGAACATGAAACAAGCCATATCTTTGCGGTGAGAAATGGCTGGCATTTCTCTAGGGCTTTTTCAGTCTTGTTGGGGAAGAGCTCACTGGCTGACTCTGTGCTCAGAGACTGGAGTAGGGCACGGGAGAGAAAGTGGGCCCCTAGACTGCACTCGGTCAGTATCAGTGACCCTGCCATGGGCCAGCGCCCTGCTAGGTACCAGGGACAAAGACAAATAGGACAAACCGGGCAGAGCTCCCAGCCTCCGGAGGGTGCAGGAGACCAACAGCAGCTATTACAATGGAGAGGACACAGGGGAAGAGGAGGGCCTGCAGAGGGACCCCGAACTCATGCCAGCAGATCTGAGAAGGCTTCCTGGAGGAGGTGATGCGCCCCCTGCTCTTGGAGGACAAGTGGGATTCAGCACCTGCAGTGTTGAATCCTGGAATCCTGAATCTTGAATACCTGGAAGACGCTGATGAGGGCCTGCGGGAAGTTGTCGAAGTTGCTGCGCCGCACCTCCGTGTCCTCGAAGTCGTACCTTCCCCCGAAGAGCTGCATGCCCAGCAGCGCGAAGATGATGATGAAGAGGAAGAGCAGCAGCAGGAGCGAGGCGATGGAGCGGATGGAGTTGAGCAGGGACGCCACCAGGTTGCTCAGAGATGTCCAGTACCTGAGGGCAGAGGGTCGCAGGTGCAGAGGAGTCGCGCCCCCTCCCCGCGCCCCGCTCCGCGGAGCCCCCGAGGTCTGGCCAGGCCAAGGCCAAGGCTCAGGCCTGAGGGGACGCAGAGGGAGAAGGGGCAGCCTCTGGGCCTCCGGGAGGCTCCGGGACGGAGGCCGGGCACCCACTCTTTCTGCCCGTCCTAGCACTTCTCATGGTTTGTCGTTTCATGTTCCTTTGTGCGATTGCCGGCTAACTTCCAACCACCCCACCAGACTGTGGACCCCAGGAGAGTAAGGACCACCTCTCTCCCCTGCACCCCTGCGCCCCCTGTGCCTAGTCCCCAGCTCAGGCGGCTGCTCAATAAACCCTGGGAAGCCGATGAGCCCGTCTCTGCTCCCTCCCTCTTTATTCTTTATTCTCCCTCCTCATTTCCATCCCCTTTCCCCACCTCTCCTTTCCTCTCATCTTCCTCCCCTTCCTCCTTCTCCCATACTCTTCTTGTCCTCTTTCCTCCCTCCACGCCATGTGCTGCACCCCTGCCCGGTATCCCTGCCCAGATGGTAAGAGGTAAGAGGGGAAAAAAATTTAAGGAAAGAGGTCAAAAGGGGAAAGTCATTTCTTTCAGGGAAAGAGGGACGTCCTGGGGAAGAGGCCACCCATGAACTTGCCCAGACCCCAGACCACGGGGACGGAGCCCCTGCAGAGCAGACCAGGTACGCTGTGGGCGTGGGGCTGCTGGAGCCGTGCCCACCCTCCCGGCGCTCACTTGGTGATCTTGAAGATCCTGAGGAGGCGGATGCAGCGCAGCACGGAGATGCCCAGGGGGCTCATGGCGCCCGATTCCACCAGCAGGATCTCCAGGATGCCGCTGCACACCACGAAGCAGTCGAAGCGGTTGAAGAGGGACATGAAGTACTGGCGCAGACCCAGCCCGTACATCTTCATCAGCATCTCGATGATGAAGAGGGCCAGCAGCACGCGGTTGGCTACATCTGCGGGGTAGGGGTGGGGGGGGCAGCCTCAGCATCGCTCGCTCTCTCTCCCCCTGCCCTGTCTCCAGGCCACGACCTTGGCTGAGCCCTCCCGCCCCAAACCCCCTCGCTGAGTTTCCAAACATCATCCCTTTTCCACTCTCAAAATCCGTAAAACCTGGCGAATGTTTGCCCATTGAGGGAATGCTGATGTAAGTTTCTCAAATGCTAAGCCATACCATGTTTATCATAAGGGAGTTTCATTACTTTCAATTTGGCTTAAGTTAATTAAGCCCTGCCATAGTCTCATTACTGTACACGTCCTTCTCTCCTGTTGGAGGAGGGCGTCCTTCTCCTATCAAAGCCAACCTGTCCACCTGTTCTTTGCTCACCAGCCCCCCCGACCCCTCCCTCACTGCCAACGATCGCTTCTCTTTCCTATGTGTTTAACTTCTCCTTTCAACTGGATTCTCCCATCACCATTTTTAAATGCTAAAGTCTTTCCGATTGTCCCCGTAGCTCCTATCCCAGCTCTCTTCTCCCTATCACGGCCAGACTTCCTAGAGAGCTATTGACTTGGATCCCTTCATTTCTTCCCACCCTGCCCTGCTCCATTTGCTCTCTAAGTCATACCTAACTGGGTCTACCTGATCACTCCACCAACAGGCTCTCTCAAGGTCACCAATGACTTCCAGGTCACTAAATCCAAGGAGCACTTTAACCCTCATTTTTCCTGATCTCACAGAAGCCCTAGGCACTGTTGACCACTCTTGCTTTTTCAAATATTATCTTTCCTTAGCTTCTGTAACCCTATATCCTTCTGGATTTCTTCTACTTCTCCTGCTTTTCCCAAGCTTCCTCTGCAGATGTAATTCTTTACCTAACCATTGGATGCTGGCCTTGAGCTATACATTATAGTATATATATCCTCTGATGATCTGGGGATGTCTTCTAAGACTGTAGCTTCAGTGGCCATCCCTGCCAATGACTCCCAGATTTTAATTCTTCAACATAGACCTCTCCATTGAGTTCCAGACCTATTTTGCCATCTGCCTCCTTGACATTTCCATTGGGATATCTCAAAGGTACCTGAAACTCAACATGCCTAAGACTAAGTTGATGAGTAATGGAGTAGTACCCATCCTCCTCCACCCCCAAATATATTCAGCCATTGATTGCCTTCCCCATCTCAGTAAGTGGCACTACCATCCATTTATCTGCGGAGGCCAGGAACCTCAAGTCTCTGACTCCTTTGGGTGGGCGGTACTCAGACAATGCGTTGGCAATACTTGACACATTCAAGGAGCTCTCAGGAAGACTGGTGGCAAATTTTTCCCTACCTCCTTCCCATAGAAAAAGACAGTCTTCTTTTCTACTTATATTCCTTTAATCTTTTTCATCATTTTAAACATAGTATCTTTTGTGTTGTCCTACTACCTCAGGCTCCCAGGGTTGCTCATTCCTGTTGGTTGGGCTTGATACTTCTTCCCCCGGGTGGCCCTCTTCCTTATCTGTTTTGCAATTGTTTTGTTGTAAGCTCTTCTTTGGGAAATGCTTTTTCCCTGCGGGAATTCTGTATGCCTTGGTTTGAGAAGCATCCCTAAAGGGCGGCGTATGTTTGCTTCTGCTGGGCACCACAGGGTTTTTTCCCTTGCCTCTGACTAGTTTTTTATGTTACTGTCTTAGCTTAGGATCCCTACACCATCTGAAACAGTGCAAATTGGAGCCCATACATATAGGGCACAGATTGGATTGCAATTTTTTCACCTGAGACATTTTTCCTTATTCCCAGAGCCTCCAGCATGGATAAACTTCCACCTTCTTTCCCCAGCCCAATGCGGTGAGATTTTTGCTTCCCTCACAAAGGGGTAATCCTAAGCTCTGGCTCTATCCAGGGGGTCAGTTCTGTTCCTCACCTGACCCAGGCTCTGGGCCCCTGTCTCCTGTCCCTGCCCGATCATTAAGAACCCAACTGCCACTCTTTAGTGGCAGACTTTAGCTCTAGGTCTAGAATGTTCCTGGAAATCAATTCATGAGCTCATTGCCTCTGGATTTCAGTGGTTTCTTCATTTCTACCATCTAGAGACTTCCTTGTCTTTCTTTGAAATATTGTTATTATGACTTAAGCAGCACTGCCACGTGTCTACACTTGGAGGGCACTTAGTTTGGTCCGCCATGTTGGGACTGGTCTCCTTGTTCTCTTAGTCTCTGCCTTTTTGCAGTTCAGAGCTCCACAGGCAGAGGAACATCTATCGTGGGGATGAGGCTGACTTGACTTCCACCAAAACTGATCCTTAGAAATTCTGGTCTGATCGTGTTATATGTCTGCTGACAATTTTTCATTAGCTTCTCATCACCCAAAGTTTAAAGTCCCAATATTTTGCTCAAGTATTTAAGGGCCTCGACACGCAAACACCCCTCCCGCTGCTCTCAGTCACATACGAAGTTCTTACAGCTCCCTGAATTCACCGTATTATTCTATATCCTCATGTCTTTGCATATGCTGTTCCTTCTGGGGGAATCCTCCCTTCCCTTTGACTGCTGGGGGGCTCATTCTACTGATTCTTTAAGGTCCACGGAGCTCCAACATTCCTCCCCTATAATCCTTCTCTTGCTGCCCCATATTTGCCTGTATGGTTGCCCTCCCTATGTGGACTTGACATTCTTCATGAGCATCTATCTTCTCCTCTAAATACACTCCTGGAAGGCAAGAGCCTATTAATTCTCTCTGCATCTGAATTCACTGTCTATGCCTTACATTTACCATGCATGCAATAAATAGCTGGTGAAAGACTGCTGTTTCGGCAGTAGAATTTTAACTTGGATGCTTGGAGTTCTAGATTGCTGGTAATCCTTATGCTCAGTATCTGAAATTGTAATCATTTACCCAGACACCTGGGTTCCCAACTGGCTGCTGTTATTGCCCCTGGTGATGCCATGAGGAAAATAGTATTACCAGCTTCTAATGTCTAGAAAACAATGTCAATATCTCCATGACGTCTTCCGCCAAACCTGAGGTGCTACTGGCTGGCTTTGGCCATTGGCCACATCTGTCCCCTTTCTGGCTTCACTCTGTTGTGTCTCACCTTGCAAGTGGGTCAGCCACAGAGGCTGGTTGTGGTGCTCGGAGGCAATCGACAGGGTGTTGAGGGCAACGACCAGGATCACCAGCCAGTAGAAGACTTTGGACTTGATCACATCATGGCACTTCCAGCGAAAGATGCGGTTCCACTGCCTCCAGTGGCGACTGGGAGAGGAGACACGGGAGAGGGGAGGCAAAGAGCTGCTTTCCTCTGAGCTCCCCCCCTTTCTGGGATTGCTTTCCGACAGGCTCCAGCCTGACTCCATCCGATCGCCCACTCTCTCCTCTGGCCACATGGGAGACGCTAAGGGCGTGAGCCGCAGGGCCAGACTGATTTAAAATCTTGCTTCCTACTTGTGAAGCTCTTCCTCTTTCAAAGGAGAAAAATAATGATCTCAGGAATTAGAGATAATGCAAGCAGAATGCTTAGCACAGTGCCCGCCATGGAACAGGGGCCCCACACGCTTCCATTTTAATTAAAGCACACGGGGTGGGGGGTGCATTTTTTTCATTAGAAAAACAATTGTGTAATGGATTAGTCATATCTGGTGTTGGTGAGGGTGTGTGGAAAGGGCACTGCCACGATCATTGCAACATTTTTTGGAGAACAATTTGGCAGCATTGACCAAGGTTTAAAAATATATATGCTTTGATCCAGAAATTCCATTTCTAGGAATCTGCCTGGTGGAAATGTTCGTACTTATGCAGGACTGTTCCTACAGCGCTGTTGGCATTGCCAAAACCAGCAAAGATTAATATTCTGTGGTATATTCATCCTGTGGACTAACAGGCTACATGCTGTACGATTCCAAATATGTGACATTCTGGAAAAAGCAAAACTACAGAAACGATAACAACATCATGTGGGGGGAGGAGGGATGAGAATGCGGAGCACAGAGCATTTTTAGGGCAGCGAAAATACTCTGAATGATATTAGAATGATGAATCCATGTCATTACACATTTGCCCAAACCCACAGAGGGGACAGCACGCAGAGGGAGCCCCAACGTACACCACGGCTTTCTGGTGGGGGATGTTGATTAATGGGCAGTGCCTGTGTGCTGGCGGGGGATATGAGAAATCTCTGTACCTTCTGTTCCATTCTGCCATGAACCTAAAACTGCTCTAAAAAAATTAAAGTCTTAAAAAAAAAAAAAGACACGTGCGTATGTATAAAGTTGCCCTAAACAAATATTTTTTAAGTTAAAAATATGTTACTTGATAGTATGTATATCTTCTTCATCAAGTGTTTGCTAGGACCTCCTGTATGCTGGGCACTGTTCTAGGCTCTGTAGCGAGGGTAGTTAGCATAAGGAACCCTGCATGTAAAAAGCCAAGCCAAACAAAAAAACCTGGTGTGTGTGTGTGTGTGTGTGTGTGTGTGTGTGTGTGTGTAAGAGAGAGAAAAGCATAGCAAAGATCTTGAAGGGATATGCATCTGTTACCATGGTTACCTCTTTGAAGGGCAGTGGGGACCATCATCTTTTCTTTGATGTATTTCTCTGTTTGATCTTCCAAACTCACAAGTGGGTATGAATTTAGAAGAGGAAGCAGCCAACTAAACAAACACACCTTCCTCTTGAGACAAAGACATTTGAATCTGGAGTCTCCCCTCGTCTCCAGACTACTGGGGTGGCCAGCGTCCTTCCTGAACACCTCTCTGTGCTACCTCTTTGCAGCACACAACTTCCCTTTTCCTGAGCAGAGCTTTCTAGGACTAATTGTCCCACCAACGCCACTCTGACCACAGGGTAGCAGCCAAATTCTCCCTTGCCCCCTGGCAGGCTCCCACTTTATTCCCAATGTAGTATATAATTCGGTCATCTGCTGAGTGGCCTCTGGTTGCCCTAAAGGATGGCAAATGTGACTCTAAGGTCCAGTAAATGGGGACCAGTAAATGGGTTCTAACTCCCTATCTCTGGGAGTTCTGAGGCTGGGAAGACTCTGGGGAGAAGAGGATACTCACACGAACTGAATGATTTTGTTCAAGCCCTCGATTTCATACAAGCTCTCTGTGTCAGAGCCTCCTTCATCCAAAGACAGCTTCCCTGGGAACAAGAAAGAAAGAGTGGACCAGGCTTCTGGGCCCCTCTGCACTAGACAGGCCTGGAAAGGGGGCCATTGACTGGAGACATCTGTGACAATGGGCCCTAGGCAGGCCTGGATCCCTGTGTGTTTGGGACCCAAGAAAGAGCCCACGCCGGGGCAGGGGGTGGTTATGGACAGGTAGCATGGTGCTTTGTACTCTAGGAAGAGCCCCGGGCACACCCGGATGCCATCATTTCCAGGTGTAAGGCTTTAGGCAAGTCACTCGCCCTTTAAGGGCCTGAGTTCTCTTACCTGCAGCATGGCAACGTTATACCGCTCCGTGGGCCTCCCAGGCTTTCAGGACATTCTCTGACTCAGTGCTCCCAGTGGGCACTGACTGCGTGAGGCAGCTTAGGGGTGGGGAGGGCATGCTGACCATGCCTTTGGGCCCAAACCTTCTCTCAAGTCCTCAACGTCCATGACCTCGCCCTGCGTGATCCAGCTCATGTAGCCTCGCAGGTCCTCCTCCAGCTGCTGTTTCTCCCGGAGCTTTTGGAAGGTTCCCCTGGACTTGGCCTTCTCCCGCTCCTTGGTGAATTCCCTAAAGTGGAATAGGGGAGACGGGGGAGGGAGGAGAAAAGGGAAAGGGGGTGGTGGAGGACTGAGCATCCCAAGGACAGAGAGAGCACATTCTGTGGCTGGGTGTGTCCCCGCCTTCTGGTCCAGGGGGTCACCTGGGGTCCAGGTGTCCTTCCAGGTGGTGGAGGGGCAGCCACTCTCCCACCCCCTCACCATCCCCCGCCCAACCAGGCAGCCTGCCTTTCTCATTGCTTTCTGCTCCTCCCATCTGATATTTGATCGTATCTCATCTTGGGGTTTCCTTGGATATTAAGGGTTAACGACATGACAGCCCATTGCCCTCACAGAATCAGCCACGGAACTTCATATTCTCCGGCTGTCCAACCTTGAAGCTACCTGAGAAGTGTAGCTGGGCTTATAGACCCAAACCCTGGAGGGAATTCTCCTGAGTCTAGAAGAAACCATGTGGCACCACTAGAAGGAAGGCACCTGAGGGCCAGTGAGCAGTCTTCCGACCAGCAGAGGCAGCCCTCGGCCTCTAAGCAGGGTCGGGGGAGGGGGAGACTGGAGCATGGTGCTGGGCTTGTGACGTGAGCACCTCAGCCCTCAGCACCGGCCCCCAGGGAATGGGCACAGGCAGGGGCTCTGGACCTTTCCATGCTGTGGATCCTTGGGTAGTTCCACAAAACGTATGGGTCCCTCCTCAGAATAATGTTGTGAAATACACAACATAAAACACTCTTACTGCAAAGGAATTGATTATATTAAAATACAGTTACTGAACTATAAGGAAATCGTGATAAAATACCACATATGTTTCTTTATTAACTCATTAACTAGGTCTGGTTGCCAACTTAACAACCATTACAGTTTCAAAGTAGTAGGGAGTGGAAGCACTCTTTGCAACATTTGTAATGGGACATGTGGTTTCTACTGGGACAAGTCAGAGTCACTGCTAGTAACACTACTGTGGTGTGTGGTCTCCAAGCCTGATAAAAGGAAACACTGAACTTCAATTAGAGTTAATAAAAAGCAAAGACAAGTTTTTCTTATTCAAGTTCTTGGAACCCCCTGAATTCTGCCTACACAATGCCTGGGGGGAAGCTTCTGGGGGTGGAGTGATGGCAGTGGGGAAGTGGACGCGCGGTCACTTCCAGACTGTCCACTGTGGCTGGCAGGCGGGAGGCAGGGAGCCCTCACAGAGAGAACCTCTCTCATTAATAATGACTGTCAGGGGCGCCTGGGTGGCTCAGTGGGTTAAGCCGCTGCCTTCGGCTCGGGTCATGATCTCAGGGTCCTGGGATTGAGTCCCGCGTCGGGCTCTCTGCTCACCAGGGAGCCTGCTCCCTCCTCTCTCTCCGCCTGCCTCTCTGTCTACTTGTGATCTCTCTGTCAAATAAATAAATAAAATCTTAAAAAAATAATGACTGTCAGTACTTCGTGCTCATTATGTGCTCAATTCTAAGTGCTTTGTATGTATTAGTTCATTTTCTCCTCCCAACAACCCTATGAGATTATTCCCATTGGAAGGATGTGGACCCTGAGGCACAGAGAGGTTAGGTAATTAGCTAAAGGTCACAGAGCCCTCAAGCGGTAGTGTAAGGATTTAAGTTCCAGGGCCCGGCGCCTCACCAGAAGGCTACACCGACCCGTGATGCTAAAGCATCAGCTGCCTCCAGGGGCAGGAGGCCGGGGTCTCAGGGGCTTCACTCAGATGGAGTGGGGGTGCAGAGGGACCAAGGAAGAAAGGATGGGAGAAGGCTGGAGGAGAAGGAAAAAATTAAAAATTAAGGGGCTCCTACCTTTATCTTCAATATCCACCTTGCTAACCTGGGAGCAGGCTCTTGGCAACAGGGATAAGTGGAGGTTCTAACCCACATCTCCCTGCCCTGGTCCTCCTCCTCCTCTCACTCCTCTTCCTTCTCTACCCCCTACTCTCTTTGTCCCTCTGGCTCTTTTCCTTCTTCTCTCCCCTCCTCCCCCCACCCTGCTGCCCCTTCTCCCTCCCGCCTTCCCTCCCTCTTCTCCTCTCCCATCTCCCCTCTCCTCCCAACTGCCTGGGAGCTTCCTTACCCGCTCAGGACACCCAGCACCAGGTTGAGAATGAAAAAGGATCCCAGCAGAATGAGGGTGACAAAATAGATCCAGGGCCACTCGTTCCCGATGGCATCATTGACCTGGTCCAGACAGAGGTGTGAGTCCCATTCACACCTGAGGACTCATATCCTGACCTGATGACTCATGTCCCCTTCTAGACTCAGGATTCTCAGTCTCCACCTGACCCTGGGGGAGAAGGAGAGAGGCCATCTGGGCCCAGATGGCAAAGTCCTAGGGCCTGGAGTTAGAAGGGCTTCTCAAAAGGAGCCTTGCTGATTGTCCACTTGGCCCAGACACGATTCACCCATTTCTCCCTCCAGCCATCCACGTCCCTGGCTCAGCTCCCTCATACACTCTCCCCCGAGGTGGTTTCTTGACAGCTAAGACTTTTCAAAGTAGAAGAAGCACAAAGAATCCTTGGACTGAGCGTGGCCAGCTCGTTCATGAACAAGTTGTGTGACCCTAGACAGGTCACCTAACATCTCTGAGCATTATCCCATCTGTCCACGGGGATGATGCTATGTGCTTGCCCCTCACAGACTTGTAGCAGGGGTGAAATAACACATGTGACAGGCCTTTGAAATGTTTGATAATTTGCTCCCATAATATGAGCTTACAAGAACTATTCGTACTAATCCTTTCTATTTGCAAAGCATCTGACAGTTTGACAACCTTTGCCTCCACAGGCAGTGTCACGTGTGGTTAAGAGTTCTGGGATCAGAGCCAGATGGATGAGTTCAATTCTTGGATCTACTGCTCGCTAGCTCCATAACTGCTGGCAAGTTACTGAACCTCTCTGAGCCTCAGTTTATTCATCTGTAAAGTGGGAACAATGCCTTCCGTGGTGGGAGGATTAAATAAGAAATGCAAACTAGCTCCGATAACACCAAACAAATAATATACTCCAACAAGGAAACTAATGTAGCATTGACCATGTTGCTGGCACTGTTACAATTCAGCTAATCTGCCTAGTAACCTGTAACTACCCTATGATGTAGTGGTATTTTTATTTTATAGGCAAGGAAAGTGATACCTAGTGATATTTATATCAGAAAGCAGTCTTGCTCTGGGGCAAAACAGACTCAAAGGGCCCTTCATCCCTTAGGAAATCTGAGATTCGAGGTCATCAGGAATGAGCCACCCACGGGCAGTTTTCAGGAAAAGTTAGAAAAGTTGAGACAGAACCCCTGGATTCCGGGTTTCCTCTCCTCACCCACCTCTTAGGTCCCGCACAGACAGGTTGTACCTTGGGAACTGCCCAGAGGATACTGGGACACAGACACTTGGGGACAAGAAGGGGGACATGCACCCTATGTAGGTTTCCCAGGGAGGGGTGAGAAGGAGCAGCGGACATTAGAGTCAGACCAACAGCGCCACGCCCCCATCCCCGGCCGTCCCTAGAATCTGGGGATGAAGGTAGGGGGCTCTGCAGCCACGGGGGCCAGACCCACCCAGTAGAGAACGTCGGTCCAGCCCTCCATGGTGATGCACTGGTACACGGTGAGCATGGAGAAGCCAAAGTTATCGAAGTGGGTGATGCCGTGGTTGGGCCCTGGCCAGCCACCCCGACACTCACTGCCATTGATGGTGCATGGGCGCCCCGATCCCGTCCTGGCGCAAGGTGAGGGCTTCTCGTTCTCCACCGTGGCCACAATATCTGCAGAAGGCAGTGCAGGCATCAGATTGGAAGTGTGGGTGGACAAGAATGGGAGAAGAGTCATCTGCGATTACTGAGGACTAGGTCTAGAGCTCACTCAGCCGGAAATGCAAAGGAGTGCTCCCCGGGAGCACACGGAGCTGGAGGAAGAGGACTGCTGGGGCCCCGGCCTGAGGTGGGTGTCTACAGGCAGCTGCAGTGGTATCTTGTGCCCTCCGGCCTCATTAGAGGGTCGTCTTCAAGGATTAGTTTCCTATGAAGTACCACTTGTGTAGCAAGGGTAACGTGAACATCATGTCTGCCCACAAAACTTTAAAAAAGGAGGCAGCATGTGGCTGGGGTGGAGGTGTGAGGGTGGGGCCACCCGTGTTCTGACTTGAGTTCTTTCTGGGAGCCACATGGAGATGTCCCAGTGGGACTGAGATGAGCTGCCCTGAGACATGAAGTTATAGGGGCAGGGGTCTGCTCCTAGCAGACATTCCCAACAGGCTGCAGTCCCCTCTGTGTCCCTGGATGGTGCTCATATTGTCTCTAAAATCCTTCAGTTTCGATGACATCCTGGGTCCCCTTTTATCTTAGGATGTTTTTGTCTCCTTTTGTGTTCAGAGATTCGATGAGCTCATCAGAGCTGGAATGCCCTACCTCACCCATATTTACCAGGTTGGCTCAGTCTTCTAGAGATGGGAGAGGAAAACATTGATGAATTCTGAGCTCTGAGTGGGTCCCTGACCCCTCAAGTCAGGTAGCTCCCATCCCAGAAAGGTTTTGGAGCACCATTGGCCAGCACTGGTCAAGAATGCATGAGGACACCAGGTGAGACCTCCGAGTCTCAGATTTGAAGGTTGTGATAAAGTCTCCTTCTCGGGGCACCTGGGTGGCTCAGTGGGTTAAAACCTCTGCCTTCAGCTCAGGTCATGATCCCAGGGTCCTGGGATCGAGCCCCGCATTGGGCTCTCTGCTCAGCTGGGAGCCTGCTTCCTCCTCTCTCTGCCTGCCTTTCTGCCTACTTGTGATCTCTGTCTGTCAAATAAATAAAATCTTAAAAAAAAAAAAGTCTCCTTCGCTCTGTTTGGATAAGGTTCATTATAGGACTTAGATTGTTACAGGAACAGGAAGGGGCTGAGCTGGGAGAGAACTAGGAATGGAACCACCAAAAGCTCTATCAGAGCTCACTGCCTTGTCTTGGATTTGGACCTCGGGCTGCCTGTCCCCTTGTCAGCGGGTCTGGGGAAGTGAGGAGTGTCCTGCGACACTGTGGATCTTGGCAATCTTGTCCATCCTGGGTTATTCTGGTGAGTTCAAGTCTGGGCTTTTGGTGGGAGGAATTGTCCTAATAGAAGTCACTTCTTTCTTGTGCCATGTTCAGTTCCTGTAGACCCCAGTAGAAGTTAGGCTCCTAACCGAGACAGACTGACACCACCGGCGGGCAGCACTGAGTCTTGGAGTGGGGGACCCACACCCTTTCAGGGCACCCACCTGGCCAAAATAATTTTTTTTTTAATTTTTAAAGAAAGATTTTATGTATTTATTTGATGGAGAGAGAGCACAAGCAGGGGGAGCTGCAGGCAAAAGGAGAAGCAGACGCCTCACTGAACAGGGAGCCAGACATCAGGCTCAACCCCAGGACCCTGGAATCATGACCTGAGTTGAAGGCAAACACTTAACCGACTGAGCCACCCAGGTGCCCCTGGTCAAAATTATTTTTATAAGAATGCCAAGACATTATTTCATCTCCCAGTCTTTCAACGAATGCAGAGTGGAGTTTTCTAGAGCCTACATGACGTGTGATTTCACAACAGACAGAACACAGAAGCAGCTGTGTGAATCTAGAAGATTCTATCAAGCCAAGTCATTAAAGAGATTTGGACAAAATGTAAGGCAGTACCTTTCTTTAAGTATTCTTGGTTTGGAAAAATATAGTTATTTTTCATACGATATCTATGTTCCTAAGTAACGGGCTTATCACTGTTCTTTTAAAATGAATTCATAAATTAATATTATGACATTTTCCTCAATTTTCCTATCTATGGATATCAATGAATATCAGAGACTAAAGTTCATATCAACAAAGGCTCTTTGGGGTCCCTAATAATTTTTAAGAGTGCAAGGAGTCCTGGGACAAACAGTTTGAGAATGGCTGCTTTGGAAGGCTTGGCTCAAGTTCATTTGAGCCTCAAGGTATGTTCTCTCTGATAACCCTACAAATGACCCTTTGGCTCTTGGGTGTTTTCTTGGGATCCCCGTTAGACACCAATCTGTGGGGCCCTGCTTGGAGGGGCTTCTCAGATCAAAGCAAAAACAAGGGCTGCAAAGAAAAGTACAAATAGAAATTCAGGCTTGTCCCAAGTCCGTATCTCAGTCCACAGCTGGCCCAGAAAGCCCAAAGATACCACGCTGGTCTGGGCTGGGCATGCTGCAGATTAAACCGTGGCCCAGTCCTTGGTCCACTTCCCTTGATCATTGACCTTGGCAGACCTGTCCTTGTCCAAGAGAAACCCATTCCTCAGGATAACAGATGTGGGAAGCAATGACCTAGTTGCGGGGTCCTTCACGGCTGAGGTGGCTGTCCCTTTTGAGTTGCCCTAGGGCCACTCCCTCCTCCCCATGGCCCTGCGAGCTCACCTGTCCCAATGAAGTAGCAGGTCTTATGCATCTTGCCTTTGAAGAGCTCCAGCCCGATGATGGCATAGATGATGACCATGAAGAGGACGAGCAGGGCGATGTGGAACAGGGGCAGCATGGCCTTGAAGATGGAGTTGAGGACCACCTGCAGGCCTGCAGAGGGGGAGCAGGGAGGAGGAAAGGAGAGTCATCTCCTCTCTTTGGCTCCTGGCCCTCCCTCTCTCTATATCCTGGGAAGCCTCGGGGACAGCAAGGTGGGAGGGGGGCCCAGGGCTGGGCAAGGGAATGGACTGGGAGAGGAGGAAGGGCATCTGAGGGGCACTGGCACCCACTCGGCACCCCAGACACCAGCCGGAGGGGTCTGAGCACGCGGAAGGCTCTCAGGGCCTTGACGTCCAGACCAGCCCCTTTGCTGCTCATCGGGGCTGTGTTGCTTTGGATGACGTTAACCTGTTCCAGAATCACAGTGAAAACCCTAGAGTGGAGAAGAGGGAGAGAAGAGGGTCAGATAAGCCCCTGTTCTGTGGGTCTGGGACCCCGTGTCCCATCTGTGCTCAGGGGACACTGTGGAAAAGCCTAGCGGGGAGTGATAACTCTCATCTACCATGAATTCAGATTTGGTGATGCCTGCCTGGAAAATTTCATTAGAAAAGATTCTGAGGCCAAGTTCAGACTCAGGGAAAAGAATACTAGATCCCGCTGAGATGCCTGGGTGCCGAAGGGAGTTGAAGTCCACGTGCCACGGGCACACACAGTCCCCGGCTGGGGAGCTAAGTGTACCCCATGCAGCGGTGCCCTCAGTGGGGACCCAGAGCAGAAAGCCGGAAGCTAGGTCTCTCCGTGAGGGTTCCTCGTGCTGTGCTTTCCGACAATGCCCTTTTATTTTCTTCCCTGCTCATCTGCTCCTCCTCTCAATTTACTCCAAGTCCTGTTATTGTTTGAAGGCCATCTCCAACCCTTCTTTATGAATCCTTCCTTTGACGACCGAACCCCTGGGACACTCTCCTGTGTCAGTACAATGAGGCACTGTGTGGTAGTGTCTTCCGACACTCCATTATTCTGTATACATTGGTCTTGGCCTCCCACCAAGGCAGCTCATTAAGAGCGGAGGCTGATTCACAGACTTCTGTTTTCCCCAGGGTGCCGAAGGGCAGTGTTGTGGTTGAATAGCAAACTCTGGAGCCAAGATCGCCTGGTTTGAGTCTTGGCACTGCCGCTGGCTGGCTCTGTGACCGAGGGCTGGTTGCTTGACCTCTCTGAGCCTTAGCCTCCTTAAATGGGAAAACTGAGATGGTTGAAGATCCTCAATGAGATGTTACATGTAAAACACATAGTAAGTGCTTGGTAAATGCTCCTGTTATAATGGTGGTTATTATGTTATGGACTGAACTGTGTGCCCCTCACATTCATATGTCGAAGCCCTGACCCTCAGTCCCTCCGAATGTGGCTGTATTTGGAGACGAGGCCTTTTTAAAGACTGAAGTGAGGCTGTGAGGGTCGACGCCAAGCCTGTCGGACTGGTGTCGTTGGAAGAAGAGGGGATTTGGAGGCGCGAAGAAGCCCCGGGGGGAGCGTGCGCACAGAGGAAAGACCACGGGCTCATGGGGAGGAGGGGCCACCCACCGTCCCAGGCTGCAGCCAAACCTGGTAACACCTTCATCTCTGGACCTCCAGGCTCCAGAGCCGGGGGAAGACAAATACTGTTGTTAGAGGCTCCCTGTTGGTGGGACTTTGTTACGGCAACCCTAGCCGACAAATACAGGTTCCTAAATGTCCATCTTTGTGAACCCAGATAGCAGGTGCTTAGTACAGGACCATGGAAGACATGAATAGATGACAAAGGTTGAGAAATTTATAAACGTCCAGAAATTGCTGGCTGCTGAAACCACGTCCATCATTTCCAACTGTGTGTGATATGAGAACAAAGGAACGTGGAGTGTCTCGCTGGGGAAGGGGTGTATGATCTGGGAGTGCTTTACTCTCCCCCAGCACTGGCTGCATCTGTGCGGGAGCTGGCCCTTCCAGAGGCTGCCCCTGGCACAGTGCTGGGGTTCCATCTTGCTCTGGGAGGCTGGTGGTGGTGGTGGGCACAGTGGTCTCAGAGATCCCCTCTGACTTCCAACCCCTCCACCCCCCACACTGGGGCCTCACCCCAGGAAGACAATGATGAAGTCTAGCACATTCCAGCCACTGCGCAGGTAGGCATCCTGATGGAATAAGAAGCCGTAGGCAATGATCTTCATGGCGGCTTCAATCGAGAAAACAATGAGGAAGAAATACTCCAGTTTCTCCTGTGGAAGCAAACACAGTCACACCACTCTTCTGTGCATCCTGAGTGCACCCTTGAGCCGCCCTGACTTCCCCTCCAGGCAATGTTCCTTTGATGTGCCTGCCTCAGGACATTTGCACTGGCTGTTGCTTCTGCCTGGAATTCCTCTACCCTGATCCCCCACATCACCACCACACACCCCCACATCACCAGCTCCCTCCCTTCCTACAGGCCTTTACTCAAAATTCATCCCTCACCCGGGCCTTGCCTGGACTGACAAGTACAACTTGAGGGATCTCTGACATTTTCTGTTCCTCTGGTCTGTTTTCGTTTGTCTTCTTAGCACTTACTCCTAGCTAAAAATACCACATATATTTTTATCTTGTTCATTTCCTATCTCACCCCCCTTGAACACAAACCCCATAAAGTGTGTGGATTTTTGTTCATTTCTTTCATTATGCCTCTTCCTGGGCCTAGACCCAGATGGATCAATGAATGGTCTGGGCAGCCCTCAAAGGGAAGGCTCCCGGTCGTTTCCGGTTTGGACATCTTTCTTCTGGCACCATCCTGAGGACTGACGATGGGCGCGGTGGCGGAAAAGGGGAGTGTTTGTCAGAACCCCGGATGGCCCTCTCTGGCTGATGTTACCAGGGTCTGACCTTTAACTGATTTGTCTGTGACCTCCCCTGTGTGTCCTCCTGCCCCACACCAGCTGCCTGCAGGCGGCCACGTAACGGGCATGGTGCTTGCACTCAGGGTGAAGGGAATCAGGGCACACTGGGAAAGGAGGAGACCCTGCAGGTAAGAGCCAATGGCTTCAGCTCAGCCCTGCCCTGCAGAAGGCCTTGCTGACCCCTCCAGGTTCTGACCCTGGAGCCCAATCCTCTGATCCTCCCAGTTACCCGATCCTGGGCCCAGTTACCCTTCCCCCTTCTCTGAGCCCAAGAGAGTTATTTCTAAATGACAAGGCAGAGTCCCCTCTGCCAAGACTCTGGGCTGAATTTGCTCTCCTTGCAGCCGTCCAAACCCTGGCTTGGGGACTTCCAAGAGTCCGGCGCCCTACCCCTCCAGGTCTCCCCAAACAAGCCCAGTCTTCTGAGGGGGGTCTGCCCAGCCTGCTGCTGGCAGGACCCAGCACTGCACAACCCCAGGAGGCACATAGAGACAAGCTGGTTGGCCCTCTGGACCTGACCACCAAGGGGGCTCTGCCTCACGCCAAGCCCACTCTTACCCTTAGTCACCAACACCCACCCCAGGAAAGCCTCCCCACCAGGGCCTCTCCATCAGCACACTATGGAGGCACAACTCATACTATGGATTCATAGTTTCTTCATTCTGGATGGAGCCAGGTCAGGAGACAGATCACCCTATTAATAATCTGGAAGATAATTTATTTTTACTTCTGAGTGGCAAGTGTGGGAAGCAAGGGAACAAGTCGCCAAATGTCCCGTTGATATGGATACGGTCCTAGAAACCTCCCAACTTGTCATTCAGAGAATTTTCCTGAGAGCACAATTACCCCTTCTACACAGAGAGGAAAACTGAGACGCATACGGACTGAGCCTACTTTCCTTAACCTCACCCCTAACTTGCCACACCAGTTTGTAATCCCAGAGCTTCCTTTCTCTTCTAGTCTTTTTCTGGAATGCCATTCTACTAACAGGCTTTTTTTGTTCATTTGTTTGTTTGAAGACTTATTTATTTGAGAGAAAGAGAGAGCATGAGCAGGGGGAGGGACAGAGGGAGAGGGAGAGGGAGAAAACCTTCAAGCAGACTCCCACTGAGGAAGGAGCCTGCCATGGGGCTCGATCCCAAGACCCCAAGATCATGACCTGGGCTGAAGCCAAGAATCAGACACTTGAACAACTGAGCCACCCCGGCGCCCCTAACAGGCTTGTTTATAGGAATCGTGCTCAACTCGACATGAGCTGGGGAATCACGGGACATCTCGCTCTGTGAAGAGCCTCAGAGGGCCGTCTGGGCCACTCCCTACTGAGGTGGAGTGGGGGGCAACCACGAAGGGTCTCCTTGGGATGGGCTGGCTCTTTCCTTTCCTGTGTTCCTGTGCTGAGCGGGCTTCCTGGGAGTCAGGTACACCGTGAGGGACAAGAGTAAGGAGGAGTGTGAAGTCAAGTCAGCATTTACGTATTTAAGTGGCTGCAGCCCCAGGGGCAAGATGGTTGAAGTGGGGATGGGGGGAGGGAAAACAGGGCCCAAAATAGTCACAGCACTCACAGGCTGGGCGGCCAGCCACATCCACAGGAGAGCCGCCTGCACCTGCCACTGCCTGTCTGGCCGCCACCAGACCCGAGGACGCTGGCCGAGGGCCCCCAGCCTCACATGGGGTCACTCGGCTTCCACAGGCTGTTACCTCTCCCTGCGGCACCCCTCCGAGCACTGGAACGGGGGCTCCTGGAGCTCTAACGCGCTGCTGTGGGAGCCCTGTGTGTGCACACAACATGGGCGCTCAGTCAGGAGGAGATGGAGGCAGGATATGTCCCTTCTTGAGTTTTGGGACAGTGCTGTCCATGTCACACTGGGTTGCCCCGCAGCCCCGCCAACCGGGGCTCAGTCTTTCACAAGGAATAAGGCACATTCATGCCACAGATATTTATTAAATGCAGGGCTGGAGGCGGCAGGCAAGACCCGGCTCTCTCTCCCTAAGATCAAAGTTACCAGCCTTCCCTAAACCACCCCAGTTCCCTTTACCACCCGCTTAAGAGGCTGCCATCAGCAGGTGGGAGGCCGCGGGGATCCGGCGTGCAGTGTCTCATCTGCTCTGTTCTTTTGGACAACCTCCTAACCTCTTGCATCTCGGCTTCCTCACTTGTAAAACTGAGACCTGCCCACTACCCGGAAGAGTCATGGTGAGGAGTAAAGGGCCTCCTGCAAGGGGTGCCAGCAAATGGCCTCGCACGTTCCAAATGCTCAGTAAATCAAGCCATTCTGATAAGAGAGACAGACCTGGGTGCCCTTGTGCAAGTCTGTTTTCTGCTCGCGCCCTGTTCTCTCGGTTTCCGCAGGGCTGTGGTCTGAGGTCGCATCTGTGGGTGGCTCACCGGGTCTCGGCTCAGTCCTGCCTTGAATCCAACATGCTTAAAGCTGAACTTCCTCCTTCGTCCCTGTCTCAGTCAGTGGCACCCAGCTGCCCAAGCCAGGAGCCCAGGGTCCTTCTGGGCTCTTCCCATCACTTTCCCCTGGACCCCGCCCATCAAGTTCAGACTTTTTAATTCCCTGATGCTCCCGAATCCACCCCTGCTGCCCTCACTGCCACCGTTGTCCCCCGTGCATAGGAATCCAACCACCCGCTGGCCTGCTTTCTCCAATTGCTCCAGACGGCTTACCAGAAAAATCCAAATGCCTTCCCATGGCACCCAAGGCCCACTATGACCCAACTCCTGCTGACACCCCTGACTTCCCCGTAGCCTGCTGGCTCCCCACCAGTCACATGGAATGGCGTTCGGGTCCCCCAGCTCTCCCCAGCTTAGCTCACAGTGGCCCCTCTGCTCAGAACGTACCTGTGGCCTGTCACCCAAGTAAGACCTGTCACCTAAGAAGGTCCTTCTGGCCCTGCACAGGGAGCGGAAGTCCTGGGTGTCCTCACCTTCCCCTCTAATACTGAGAACACCATGTGTGTTCTCAGCTGTGGATTCTCCATGGTTTTTCTGCTGCGTGGATAAGGGAGACATACCTTTCCCCCTCAGGAGTGGTATTTGTGGGGTGCTCAAGGGTCTCCCTGCACTGAAGGCTGCTCAGACTCTCTGGTGGTGGTTAGGGGAGATTTTGTGGCCTGACCCCCGTCCCCACTGGTGTTTCTGATTCCCTGCCCCCACAAGAGTCTTCCCCCGACCCTAGGCCTAGCTGAAAATGTGCTGACCTCAGGGCTTTTGTCCCTGCTGCTCCCTCTGTCTGGAACGTTCTTCCCAGATAACCTCTTGGCTCACGGTCTGCTTTCTTTTGGATCCCAATTCGAATGCCATCTTATCACCGAGGTGCACCTGTCACTCCCTGTTCCCTCGTCCCTCTCCATCTCCTTATTCTCCTTTGTTTTCATCTTTAGTAGTGATCACCACGTAGTGTACCACACAATTCTTTCTTTCTTTCAACTCTTTCCCTTGGCCTGAATATAAGGTCCATGAGAACAAGGCCTTGGCTTTGTCCAGTGCCCTGTCACCCACATCTAGAACAGTATCCCACCGACACGAATCTTTGTGATCAGAGGAAGTGAGCCAGTGTCCTTAGCACACTGCTTCTCCAGGTCCAGACTGGAGAGCGGGGCTGTCCACAAACCGTTGTTACCGCTCTGAGACAAGAGCAGCCACGGAGAATAAGCATTTGGAAATCGTGACAGCAACTAGCCACAAGTTCTCAGCACGTGGGCGGACTACAGGCTCAGTCTGGGCTTGGTGAGTCTCATGGGGTGCGCGTCCCATGAAGTGGGCAGGACCCCCTACCTGTCCACAGTGGACTGTAAATTGGAAGCAACAGACTGGTCTTTCCCCACAAATTGTCTGAGAATCTCTGTTTAGAGCATATTGTGCAGCCTGGCACAGAGCAAGTGCTCAAGTGCTCAAGAAATGTTGTTGAATGAATAATAAAATACAGTCGAAAATCATCATCTCTCCTGCAGGATAATTTAAAGGGAGGTGCTGATACTGCATTTATACTGTGAAATACGGATTATGGGCTTCACCCTGCTAATGGCACAGAGCTTCTAAAACACCTGGAATTTCCTAAGTGATGAGAGTGACAAAAGTGTCTTTTGTTATTTTAATGTGGTAATGGCTTTCAGAGGAACCAACCACGGAATTAGAAGGTTAGAACTTTCAGTCCCATCCTCTTATCCTCCAGGGAGAGGAAAGGGGCTGAAGGTTGACTCCGTCACCAATGGACAATGATTTAACCCATCGTGCCTATGTAATAAAGCCTCCGTGAAAAGCCAAAAGGACAGGGTTCAGAGAGTTTCTGAGTCGGTGAACAGTGGAGATGCAGGGAGTGTGGAACACTCAGAAAGCATGGAAG